TCTGTGCAGGTCCACGTCTTCCTGTAGCCCCCATATAACGGTACCCCCCGATATTCGGTTTTTTGATGATTTTAGCGACATTGTTTACCGAAATCGTTTCAAATTTGGTATTTGAAGTTCGTAATGGATACTACATCCTAAATCAAAAAATGAGCCATGTAGGTCCACGTCTTCATATAGCCCCCATATAACGGTACCCCCGATATTCGGTATTTTGATGATTTTAGCGACATTGTTTACCGAAATCGTTTCAAATTTGGTATTTGAAGTTCGTAATGGATACTTCATCCAAAGTCAAAGAATGAGCCATGTAGGTCCACGTCTTCATATAGCCCCCATATAACGGTACCCCCCGATATTCGCTATTTTAATGATTTTAGCGACATTATTTACAGGGATTGTTTCAGATTTCGTATGTGAAGTTCGTAATGGATACTTCAGCCCATGCCAGAAAATTGTCTGTGCAGGTCCACGTCTTCGTATAGCCCCCATATAACGGTACCCCCCATATTCGGTATTTTGACGATTTTAGCTACATTATAAACAGATTTTTCTTCAAGTTTCGCATTTAAATATTGTAATAATTTATGACAAAAGTTGCCTATGCAGGCCCACGTCGTCGTATAAGCATTCGGTATTTTTAAGATTTTAACAGAATTTTTAACGGGTTTTAATTTTGGAAATTGCCAAATTTGTACCAAATGGTGGAGGGTATTAAAAGTTCGGCCCGGCCGAACTTACAGCTTTTTTACTTGTTTTTTTTCAATTTGTATTATCATATTGAATTCAGTGGGTTTTTTTGTGATCAAAATAAAGAATAATTTGTCACTGTATACAATTTTCACCAAAAAATGAAATAAGTGCGAAATACGATGTTAACTGACATCTACATTTCAACTACAGGGCCGACATCGTGATTCAGATGGAAGATCGAAGAACACATTTAAACAACCAAAAATGACAGAAAAGCCTAATGGAGCTCATTTCAAAGTGTGGACCTACTTCTTTCATGTGACAATAATCCGTCCAATGAGAGCTCAAAATGTAAAATTCTTTGGGAGTACAATCAGTAAAATACCAAATATAAAGGGTGCAAAATAATAGAGCGAATGGGACTTTTAGTAAGAAAAGGATTTCTATCCTTCCAGGAATTCTTCCAAAACATTCAAGATACCTTAAATCACTTTTGCAGGTCATGATATCGATCATAACTCACGGATAAGGGTACAACCCGATTTTATATTTATATAACCATCATATGATTTAAGCTATTTTTGGGGTCTTGGCCACTTTTTTCATATTTTGGCCCTTATTTGGCATCTTTGTCTCTAAGGGGTTAGGGAACCATCATACAGATAATTGCCACATAGGAATTTATTTAAGTAAAGTCCCCACATTGGAGTATCCCCAAGTCCACTTTCCCATATAATGAGATTATTGGTTGGAAACGTAGATTTTGGATATACATCTATATGAAATAAATTGTGGAAACATGAACAAATTACAAATATATGAAAATAGCACGGCACCGAATATTAGTTGAATCGTCATTGAATTATACTATGATGAAAAATATGGTGGATAAAACTATTTTTACTCATGGGGGAGTGAAAATCTTACACAAAAATTTGAACATATCTACAAATTTTAGAATTTTTTCCATATAATAGTACCTCCTCAAGTCCACCTTTTGGCGGACAAACAGACCGACATCGTTAGGGGGACTTATAAGAACTCTAATGGACAATCTGAGGTGCTAATGGCTTTAAAAAAGTAATTAACTTTGGCTATTCTTAAAAAATTCGGCCCTCAATTATGAGGTGTACAAAATACAGCAAATTCAAAATTACTGCTCATTTGACTGGAAAATTTTGCAACGATTTTTACCATACTAAAAAATAATTTGATCCCTTACATGGGGATAAGATTGATATATACTTTTTAATAGATTTGTATAGCACATCCACACCTTTGAAGCCCACGGTTTAAATATGGGTACAGGCATGATACAATGAAGAGAAGGTAGGTCAACTTTGAAAAAATTGCAAGTATAGAGGTCTACCTGTTTGGCTTGTAATGTCAGAATTACTACCAAAACAATAAAAAATCAAACAACTTATTGCATTGATTTTGAATAAATAATTTAAAACCGCGAAAACTGAATGAAAGGTCAACACTTCTTTTCAAAATCATGTACTATATATCTCTAAAGTATTATTTCGCTACAAAAACTCTAGATTTTGTCGATGCATACGTTGAAATAAACATTTTGAAAACATCCGAATTTGAATATTTTCTGAACAATTTTTTTTGAATTGTTCAGAAAATATTCAAATTCGGGTGTTTTCAAAATGTTTATTTCAACCAGTGTGACTGCTGGAAATTTTCAAAAAGTATCACAAAAAGTATCATTTCTTGAAAAAAGTGGCACATATCATTTTAAATGGTGGCACAGAAAGTGGCACAATTTATTTCACATTTTATTTAAAAAATTACAGTTTAGAACAAAACAACAAATTCATCTATACGTAATACTATATAGTAATAATATATGTATGTACATATTGCATATTTTACCAGTAAAGAAAGCCTTACAGTCGGGCGAGGCCGTCTTTATGATACCCTACACCACTTTGCTAATTTAGTAGCGCTCCGCATAACAATTTAAAGTTTTTATGGGAGAATTCAATAATACGCGCTATGATTATAATTATAATTTAAAGTTCAAAATACTAAAAGTGCCGAAGCATTTGTATCTCTTAAATTCAAACTTGTATTAGCCATTTGATATATATGGGAGCTATATCCAAATCTGAACTGATCACGATAAAATTTAGCAAAGATATTTCTGAGCTGTATTTGATATATTTCCCTGAATATCGTTGTTACGGAGTGCATATTACGGCTGTGGGTAACAAATACAACAAATCGGATGAACAATATATATGGGAGCTATAGCTATATCTGAACCGATTTGGCATACTTATTTTCAGGCTTAATTTTGCTGTATGTGCAAAATTCCATGCTATTCGGGCCGATATTACACGTTTGGTGCACAATAAAAGGCAGATCGGACGAAGATATTTAAGGGAGCTTTATCTAAATTTTGACCGATTATCTCCAATTTCAATAGAGTTCGTCTTGGGCCAAACAAATGATTGGTCAAAATTTCATCCGGATAGGGTAAAACATGTGAACTGTACTTTGTTTTCAAAAATACATGGATAGACGGACAGACGGACGGACGGACGGACATAAATCAACTCAGAATGTGATTCTATGCATATCATCAAAATGAACTATGGGTCTATCCAGTTTCCTTTTGCCTGTTACAAACAAATGCACAAAGACATAATGCCCTGACCACCTTGTGCTATAGGATATAACAAATAAAAAAGCTGTAAGTTCGGCCGGGCCGAACTTTGAATACCCTCCACCATATGGTACAAATTTGGCAATTTTCAAAAAACTAAAATCCATTAAAAATTCTGTGAAAATCTTAAAAATTCCAAATGTAGCCGGATATTAGGGTTTATACGACGACGTGGATCTGCATATGCAACTTTTGTCATAAGCCTGCACAGACAATTTTCTGACATAGGATGTAGTATCCATTACGAACTTCAAATGTGAAAATTGAAACAATTCCGGTAAATAATGTCGCTAAAATCAACAAAATACTGTATATCGGGGGTAATAGGGGGGCTATACGAAGACGTGGACCTGCACAGACAATTTTCTGTCATAGGCTGTAGTAAAGTAATAAAAAATGTCTCTTAACAGTTGTTCCAGAAATAAACAAACAGAACAATGTTGACAACTTTGAGCATGCGAAAACCAATTACAAACACTTGATATAAGAGCGTTCGCTCTGAAATTTGCCATCGCAAATTGGAAATGGCAGCGTGCGACGCTTTTCATGGTTTCTTTTTATTTCATTGTTTTAAATACAGCGTTTAGATTAAAATATATGTAGTTTAAAAAAAGGTGACACAATGTATAAAAAAGTGGCACAAAAATTCAAAAAAGTGGCTCATTTAGGATCAAAATAAAAAAGTGGCACAAAGGTATCAAAGCCCAAAAAAGGTGGCAAAATTGATACTTTAGTGGCACAACGGTCACGATGATTTCAACGTATGCATCGACAAAATCTAGAGTTTTTTGTAGCGAAATAATCCTTTAGAGATATATAGTACATGATTTTGAACGGACCGGGCCAGCTAGTACATATATATATGGTACTTGAGGTTCGTAATGGATACGAATAGAGGAAGAAGATGTTTCGCCACAGAAGCTAGAACCCATTACGAACTAAAAATACCAATTTGTAGAGTATCCAGTGGAGGAAATTACGCAAAATCATCAAAATACCAAATACATATATATGGTAGTTCGTAATGGATACGGTACCTCTCGATATTCGATATTTTGATGATTTTAGGGACATTATTCACCGGGATTCATTTCAAATTTCATGATGTTGTTACAAAATTGGTCCACGTCTTCGTATAACCCCCATATAACGGTACCTCCCCATATTCGAGATTTTGATGATTTTAGCGACATTATTCAGCGATTTTTTTTTCAGGTTTCATATTTAAATATTGTAATGGCTTATGACAAAAGTTGCCTTTGCAAGTCTACATCGTCATATAGACCCTACTATAACGGCTACATTCGCTATATTTAAGATGTTAAGAGAATTTTCAAAGGAATTTATATTTTTTAATTGCAAAACTCGTTCCAAATGGTGGAGGGTATTCAAAGTTCGGCCCGGCCGAGCTTACAGCTATTTTACTATTTATATGTTGTTGTTTAGTTAGTAGTTGGATTTCGAACCAGCAGTTTATCTACCTAGTTGAATAATCCGAATTAAATTTTGTATCTAATCGCACCCGTAAAAGACCCCAAATTGTGTCTGCATCTTTAATTGTATTGCTTTCGGTGTTAGTCTACATACATTTCCTTCTCTCTGCTTAGAACAAAATACTCATTCAGAATTTTGAATGCAACCTTAAATCGATGTTGGTTTTATTTACATGTAAACGTCGCTATTAAAATTGTAATTTAATAAATAAAGAAGAGGTTCGAGGAGCCCTATAATATATAACTATTGTAAATTTGTATTGCTTCGCCTGCGATTGGTTACTTCGTACATTGCATGTATCAGTTGATTTTAGAGGCCTTCCCTCTTTGACCATTCCATCCACGAGCCCAAATAGGGTTTAGCCCTGCAAAATTATTTGAAGTTTGGTATTCAATGCATTTTTGTGTTGGGTAAATCGCTTTTACTTACTTTGCCCAGCCCTTAGATCGGGCCAAATCAGCTCCCATCTGCGCATACTGTCCGCCAAGGCACGTGAATATGACAACAGCATCCTTGGGTGGCTTTTCACGTCCGTATATTTGTTTGAATTCGTTGTCCTCCATCATTAAAGCAGCTTCCAGTTCGGTGACTGAAAGAACCCAAAACAAATCAAGAATGGGTGTAATCAGGAGCAGGCTTTAAAATTCAAGTAGCAGCATAGTCTGGTAAAGAGCCTGCATCCGATTAGAAATATAGCAGCATAGATTGCCTTCATCTTAAATCTTTTCGTTTCGTTTATAGGTTTATATTCATTATCCATACTTATGTCAATTAAGATATGAAAAATCAAAATATTAAGGATATTTCAAACCACTTCTCTACCCAACCAATCACGTTTAATAGCCCCGTAAACTGGTATCGCTCGATTTTAGGTATTTTAAAGATTTTTGTCATTCAAATACGAAATTTGAATCTGAAATTTGAAACGCTGAATAATGTAGCTAAAATTATCAAAGTACTCAATATAGGGACGCATCGATATTTAGGGGCTATGCGAAGACCGTGCATAGAAAATGTTCTTCTATAAACTGTAGTATCCATTAGGAACTTCAAATACGAAATTTGTAAAAATTCCGGTGACTGAGTTACCGTTATATGGGTGCTATACGAAAACGTGGACCTACATAACCAATATTTGGTCACAGGCTGAAGTAACCACTACGAAGTGGAAATGCGAAATCTGAAACAAATCCGGTGAATAATGCAGCTAAAATCATCAAAATACCGAATATAGGGAGCTACAGATATATGGGGGTTATACGAAGACCTGGACTTGGCTAGAGTGATTTCCACAGACGGAGGGAAATCGTTAATCGATATATTTACTTTGTGAGGCTTAAAATGTATATTTCGAGGTGTTACAAACGGAATGACAAACATAATGTATAACCTCCATACTGGTGGAGGGTATAAACAAGTTAAAAAATTAGTATCAGTATGTATATCCTCAGCCAATGTTCGATTATTTAAATATATTTTGACTTCTTTTATGATTATTCAAAGTGTTGACCCTATATTGAGTAGGTTCCGAAGGGATCAGCCAATATTGTCCATTTCGTATCGGACCTAAATAAATCTTCTATCTTCTGTATCTATAAAAGAGGAAAATGTTTGTATGTTTGTTTGTTGGTAATTTATGGACTCGAAAACCGCTGAACAGATTTTCCTGAAAATTTACAAGTATACTACAACATCGCCTGAAAGGAATATAGGCTGTATACATTATTGAAATTCCACTTGGAACTGGAGATATAGCATCAGAATCGGAGGTACCTCCCAAAAATTTAGGTTTTATATGCACACATCTTTTGATCGATTACAGCCACAGTCTCCAAATTTCGATTGCATAACGGAATTTGGAACAAAAATAAATTTGCTAAATTATATTGAAGTCGGTTCTGATTTGGATATAGCTCCCATATATATTTTCGACCAATTTAGTGTATTTGATGCATTAGACACTCTGCGTACGCCACATTTCAATTAAATTTGGAATGTGTCTAACAAATTTATTTGCCAAATTATACTGAAATCGGTTTAGATTTGGATATAGCTCCAATATACATTTTCGGCCGATTTCATGTATTTGATGCACCAAACACGAAATGTATGTTCGATTCTCATGAAATTTGGAATGTGTGACGGCATTTGATCAGAAAATAAATTTGTCAAATTATATTGAAATCGGTACAGATTTAGATATGCTCCCATATATATTTTCGACATGTTTCGTTTTTTTAATGCGATTCCAATGAAATCAAAAAATCAAATCTCAAACCAATGAGATCAAACAATTAATTTGTCAAATAATATTGAAATCGGTTAAAATTTGGATATAGCTCCAATATATATTCGTCCGATTTAACATATTTCATGCACAATGAAATTACAATGAAATTTGGCATGAGTGACTCAATTTGGTTACAATAATAAATTTGACAAATTAATTGCAAATCGTTTAAAATTTGGATATAGCTCCCAAATATATTCTCGGCCGATTTCACATATTTGACGCACCAATTTCCATTAAATATGGAAGGTGTGACGGAATTTTTTGTAATCGGTTCAGATTGACATATGATTATATTAAGAAGCATTGACCCACAATGCCTTTGCAATGGTATTCAGCTAACAGTAAAAAACTACACAACAATTTAATCGCGGATACGATTATTACGGGGAAGTATGTTGCCACCTCGGAATCACTAATTGCAAGAGAAATACCACTCAACTTTAAAAGACTGCAGTTTCCTGCACGCTTGGATTTTGCTATTAAATTAATAAATCCGAAGGACAAACCCTTCGTGTATGCATGGCATGTTCCTGCTTTTCTCATGGTCAGCTGTTCCTGTCATATTCACGCGTTTGTACACCGAGCTATTTGTTTATTTACACATTTGAGTATTATAATATATTTTTTTAGAATTTTTGAAAATATTTTATTTTTTTGTTAAACCAATATATATTCGTATATAATATGCTGGATGCATATAAAATCAAAAGGGGTAGCGAAGCGCACCGGGTTCAGCTAGTATGACATAAACTGCCAGGCATGGACTATATTGGTTACTTCCTTCACTTTGTTTTTCAAAATCTTGAACCCTATGTGAAGGAGGTACCAGAAGAAATGGCCTGATCCCTACCATCTTTCTAACAGATAATCTGTTTATGGAAATATTGAAATGCACCAAGTCTGAATAAAATCGGATGTTAATTTCTCGTTTGTTGAACCTTTGTGGAGGAGGTACCAGAAGGAGTGGACCGATATATTCCATCTTCACACCAAATCTTGGGTTAATAAAGATATTGTGATGTGAGTAATTTGAAGTCAATCGAACCATTACCTCGCATTTTATAAGAGTTATAATTATTCCAAATTTTTACCGTTTGTGGGGGAGGTAGTTGATGGAGCGCACCTGGCCTAGCACTGATGGAAATATTGGGACATGCTAAGTTGGAGCAAAATCGGAATATCCTTTCTCTTTCGGTGCAGTAATTTAGTTTCCTTGAAAGTGTTGACATTTTGGGGGGGAGTACCAGAAGGAGTGGGCCGATATGCCCAATCTCCGAACTCAATCTAAGTTTGACAATAATATTACGATGTTCCAAGTTTGGATCAAATCGGATACACCCTTCGAGAGTTATCGTGTGCACCAGCCAGACAGACGGACGGATTTGCTTCAAAGAGACCTAGGGTCGAAAACCGTTATTTCGATGAGGCATGTTTTGGCCGTATCAAATGATATATACCCTCTCTAGCCATATGGCAGATGGTTTAAAAGTGTGCATGAAAAATATAACAAATGGGCGAATTTCTACTACGTTATTATTTACCGATTTGCGTAATACGGGCGCACAAAACATTTTGCCATAGTTGGGAAGTTGGATATTTGGTTAGGAAACGCTGGTATTATCCATAATAAAACAAACAAATACACAAAAACTTGCACTGTTCCAGTACCTCATAAAGGGAAAATCGGTTATCGTGTTAAAAACTTTTACATTCTTGCATTTCTGGAACAGACCAACTGTGTATATGTTTTCACAGAATAGGGACATGGTCTACTGGACCCATACATCTTCAGCGTCCGCTTTATGGTGATTTGAAAGCCTCTCTCTTACCAATTACATTTGAATTTGCACTTTACAATAGAACTCGTGGTCTTTTCCAATACTGCAAATATTTTTACTACGATAGCCGATTTTTTTCCTCGATGATATTGAAAAAATTGCAAAACTAGTAGATTCTTGTAGGTTCCGGAACAGACCATCACTCAAATATTAAGGTGAGAATACATAATACGCTTCTTTGACTAGTTTAAGTCATCGACTGACTTCTTTATAAAAGCACAAAGGAGCGTTGGGTTGGCAAGTAGCAAGCCGAAATTGAACTAAGTCACCCTAAAGCACCTTTGTTCTTTCATACATAAAGGTGAGAATACATAAACATAAAACAATCTATGAATATGTACAAGTTATTTACCACTTACATGGTATGTTTATACTTGTCGGAATGGCACCATCATTTTCAACCATATCCCGACTCCTGACTTCAATTAAATACTTTTCTGGATGGTTTGGTAAGTCTTTCACCTCTTCGTATGTGGCGAAATCCTTAACAGGACTTCCATCATCTGCAGAGCTTGAATGTAGTAGACCGGAACACAAAAGAATGCCCAGAACGATTGAATTCTTAACTTGGAACATTGTAGCGATTCGTAGGCGTTTGTTTTCCTTCTGTCAACTGTTTGAACTGATCTCTGTTTGTGGGGCAGCATATGCATTTTATACGCCAATAGAATTGGGTAAAGGCTAACGAAAACAATCAAATAATTCATTAATCATATATTTTGATTAGTGCCATTCATTAAAGAGAAGAGGTGGATTATGGCCGATCACGTTATATCGTCTCAGTTAGTTGTAAAAGTAGCTTAAGTGCATAATTTTAATATGCATAATTTGATAGTGGCAAGGTAGGGCAGCAGATTGATTAAATGTCAAAAATACAACTCTGATGATAGAGTCTTGTAACTAATAACGGTTGTTTGTTTGACACATTTCTCATCATGTTTCAATTGAAGAAAAACTCGAGGACAATGAATTGAGTCTTACGGATTTGTCACATTATTGAGTTGTTAATGTGACCCTGTTCTTTTTCATCCCAAAAACGCAACTATTTATTCTCCCCAAAAGCTGTAAATTTGAACAGAATTTAAAAAGAAAATTGTTTAAAACATTATCAAAACCATGGTAAATCTGAAGGTAAGATCATTTTAAATAAGCATATCCATTTCTGCATTTTCTGTAATTTACCTTGTCAAATTTCACTGTCCAGAAAACAAGTTCCCATCTCTGATTTGTTTATGTACAATTTATTTATCAATATACATTTTGACAAAGAGATGTAGTCAAATGAACAATCTTGAAAAAAAAATTAAAAATATGATTGCATGACTTTACCTTCTTAATTCTACCAAGTTCAAAACAATACACACATATAGAAATGTTGTGACATTACAAGGCTACCATAAGGAAAAAATCGCATTCAGATAACATCCATGGCAAAACAATAGAGGTATGCTCATTTGCTAAAACGAATATGGCGACCCTTTTCTGACGTACTTGACCTTGTCACTACACCACCCACCTTGAAAAGGAGGGTATATTAACTATTCCGTGTGTAACATCGTCGTAGACCCCATGAAGTACAGGGTGAGATAAAAAACTGCAACAACGTTAAACGCCATAATTTTTACATTTGTTTTTAAATAAAATGTCGGAAATAGAATCTAATTTTAGAATAAGTTTAGATTTGTTCGAATTGGTCACCTTTGGCACGAATTATGGCCTTCAAACGGCCAATGAAAACGTCACACGCTGCCCGAATGTTGCTCTGCGGTATTTTGGCACATTCTCGGCGAAGCGCTTGCTTGAGGTGATCGACACTTTGGTATTTTTTAGTGCCAATCTTGCTTTCCAAAATACTCCAGACAATAGTCTGGTATAGTCTCCATATAACGGTACCTCCCGATATTCGGTATTTTGATGATTTATGCCACATTTTTTCACGGATTTGTTTGAAAATTGGTATTTGTAGGTCATAACGGGTCTCTGTGCGTGTGGCAAAACATTGCATGTATAGGTCCACGTTTTGGTATAGCCCCCATATAAAGGTACCTCCCGATATTCGGTAATTTGATGATTATTGCCACATTTTTTCATGGATTTGTCTAAAAATTGGTATTTGTGGGTCATAATGGGTTCCAGCTCCGGTGGCGAAACATTGCATGCATGGGTCCATGATTTGATATAGCCCCCATATAACGGTACCTCCCGATATTCGGTATTTTGATGATTTTTGCCACATTTTTTCACTGATTTGTCTAAAAAAACATTGTAATTATAGGTCCACGTTTTGGTGTAGCCCCCATATAACGGTACCTCCCGATATTCGGCATTTTAATGGTTTTTCCCACATTTCTTCTACTGTTTCTTTTACCCTAAGGTGGAGGGTATTAAAAGTTTGGCCCGGCCGAACTTAATGTTTTTTTACTTGTTGGTATTTCAATGGCTTTGCCCCGAGCTCATTTTTCAGTATTTGCCGAATGGAATATTGTGATATGTTAAGCTCACGATCCATTTTTCGACAACTGCGACGTGGGTTTCGATCAAGTGGCTTCTTTACTTTTCGAACCATTTCTGCTGATGTTGCTGTTTTCTTCCGTCCACTTCCTTGACGTCGGGCTAGGCTACCAGTATCACGGTAATGAGCGATGGTACGAGACACAAAAGATTTATTCATATTTAAATGTTGGAGTGCTCTAACGATATCCCCTTGTGGTTTTCCAGCCAAATATAAATAATTCACACTATCAGGCTTGAATTCCATGACGAATAACTTTTTTCTGAAAAATTCCTACCAAAACGATTTTGTACGCTTGTAAACAATATAATGAGCTGTCATTGGAATAATTTTAACAGCTGTCGGACGAGTGGCTTAGAAATAGCAGCTGTCTGAAGTTGGTTGCAATTTTTTCATCTCACCCTGTATTTAAGGAAGAACGACAAAATTTCATCTTGACAATAAAGGGACAACAATTAAAAAAATGAAAAATAAAAAATAAAAAAATGATTGCATGAGATTACCTTGGTAATTGTATCTTGATCATTACTCTGTTCCAGAACCTTCAAGAATCTCCTATTTTTATACCCTCCACCATACTATGGAGGGTATATTAATTTTGTCATTCCGTTTGTAACTCCTCGAAATATTCATGTCAGACCCAACAAAGTATATATATTCTTGATCAGCGTAAAATTCTAAGACGATTTAGCCATGTCCGTCTGTCTGTCTGTGTGTCTGTCTGTCTGTCTGTCTGTCCGTCTGTCTGTCTGTCTGTCTGTCTGTCTGTCTGTCTGTTGTAATCACGCTATCTTTCGAACAAATTGAGATAGAAGGCTAAAATTTTGCACACATGTATTTTTTCCCAGTAGGCAGGTTAAGTTCGTAAATGGGCCATGTAGGTCCAAGTTATCATGTAGCCCCCATATAACGGTACCTCCCGATATTCGGTATTTTGATGATTTTAGCGACATTATTCACCGGAATTATTTCAAATTTGGCATTTGAAGTTTGTAATGGATGCTACAGCCTAAGACAGAAAATTATCTGTGCAGGTCCACGTCTTCCTGTAGCCCCCATATAACGGTACCCCCCGATATTCGGTTTTTTGATGATTTTAGCGACATTGTTTACCGAAATCGTTTCAAATTTGGTATTTGAAGTTCGTAATGGATACTACATCCTAAATCAAAAAATGAGCCATGTAGGTCCACGTCTTCATATAGCCCCCATATAACGGTACCCCCGATATTCGGTATTTTGATGATTTTAGCGACATTGTTTACCGAAATCGTTTCAAATTTGGTATTTGAAGTTCGTAATGGATACTTCATCCAAAGTCAAAGAATGAGCCATGTAGGTCCACGTCTTCATATAGCCCCCATATAACGGTACCCCCCGATATTCGCTATTTTAATGATTTTAGCGACATTATTTACAGGGATTGTTTCAGATTTCGTATGTGAAGTTCGTAATGGATACTTCAGCCCATGCCAGAAAATTGTCTGTGCAGGTCCACGTCTTCGTATAGCCCCCATATAACGGTACCCCCCATATTCGGTATTTTGACGATTTTAGCTACATTATAAACAGATTTTTCTTCAAGTTTCGCATTTAAATATTGTAATAATTTATGACAAAAGTTGCCTATGCAGGCCCACGTCGTCGTATAAGCATTCGGTATTTTTAAGATTTTAACAGAATTTTTAACGGGTTTTAATTTTGGAAATTGCCAAATTTGTACCAAATGGTGGAGGGTATTAAAAGTTCGGCCCGGCCGAACTTACAGCTTTTTTACTTGTTTCATTTTTTTTTTTTATAAAATAAAGGACAATCGTTTATCGTAGTTGCTGAAAAAAAATTCTGGAGCTGAAAAATCTCTTTAATATAAATATTGCGATAAAGTGTCGAACAAGCAATACAACTTATTGCCTTAAATTTTGAAATTTTGTTTTTATATATTTAATTAACCTGCCCAACGCTGATACCATGTAACCTAAACTATTGCATTGCCGTGTAATTAGAAGAAAGAATATTTTTCGAATGGGAAAGTTGGTAGTATTGTTGATTAGAAGACCTTCCTTCTGTGTGTATTTCTACTGCTTGAGAATGCGAAATGCCACTAATTCTTTTCATTAGGTATTACAAACTTATTGTTATTTTTATACCCTCCACCATACTATGGAGGGTATATTAATTTTGTCATTCCGTTTGTAACTCCTCGAAATATTCATGTCAGACCCAACAAAGTATATATATTCTTGATCAGCGTAAAATTCTAAGACGATTTAGCCATGTCCGTCTGTCTGTCTGTGTGTCTGTCTGTCTGTCTGTCTGTCTGTCCGTCTGTCTGTCTGTCTGTCTGTCTGTCTGTCTGTCTGTTGTAATCACGCTATCTTTCGAACAAATTGAGATAGAAGGCTAAAATTTTGCACACATGTATTTTTTCCCAGTAGGCAGGTTAAGTTCGTAAATGGGCCATGTAGGTCCAAGTTATCATGTAGCCCCCATATAACGGTACCTCCCGATATTCGGTATTTTGATGATTTTAGCGACATTATTCACCGGAATTATTTCAAATTTGGCATTTGAAGTTTGTAATGGATGCTACAGCCTAAGACAGAAAATTATCTGTGCAGGTCCACGTCTTCCTGTAGCCCCCATATAACGGTACCCCCCGATATTCGGTTTTTTGATGATTTTAGCGACATTGTTTACCGAAATCGTTTCAAATTTGGTATTTGAAGTTCGTAATGGATACTACATCCTAAATCAAAAAATGAGCCATGTAGGTCCACGTCTTCATATAGCCCCCATATAACGGTACCCCCGATATTCGGTATTTTGATGATTTTAGCGACATTGTTTACCGAAATCGTTTCAAATTTGGTATTTGAAGTTCGTAATGGATACTTCATCCAAAGTCAAAGAATGAGCCATGTAGGTCCACGTCTTCATATAGCCCCCATATAACGGTACCCCCCGATATTCGCTATTTTAATGATTTTAGCGACATTATTTACAGGGATTGTTTCAGATTTCGTATGTGAAGTTCGTAATGGATACTTCAGCCCATGCCAGAAAATTGTCTGTGCAGGTCCACGTCTTCGTATAGCCCCCATATAACGGTACCCCCCATATTCGGTATTTTGACGATTTTAGCTACATTATAAACAGATTTTTCTTCAAGTTTCGCATTTAAATATTGTAATAATTTATGACAAAAGTTGCCTATGCAGGCCCACGTCGTCGTATAAGCATTCGGTATTTTTAAGATTTTAACAGAATTTTTAACGGGTTTTAATTTTGGAAATTGCCAAATTTGTACCAAATGGTGGAGGGTATTAAAAGTTCGGCCCGGCCGAACTTACAGCTTTTTTACTTGTTTTTTTATTATTAACTTAGGCCCTTTTCAGATATATCTTATCAAAATTATACTTTGCGTAAGGTCTGGTTTGATTACTACCGCTAGACAATTGTGCATTTTTGTGAAATGCATTCTACGTTTGCGTGTTTACAAAATAAGTCTAATTACAAATATCGCGTTCCGCTAATAGGAAAATGTGTGCAACCAAACACTGTTTAACAAAATGTCAATAAAAACACTTTATTCGAACAGGCGACGCATGAATATCAAAACGACATTTTATTTGAATAGAATGCCGTCTCCGTGCATGCAAACCTCGTCCGTCAAATGTTTATGACAAAACAAAGGGAAAATAGACAATATAGCGCGGTAAAATGAACACAAGGTATGTCAGAGCTACTATGATAGGATAAGTTTGAGAAAGTAAAAGGGCTTACCTATATAGATTATATTGACGGAATTAAGGTGAGAAAACAAAAAAACTCGGAACTACGAAGAAATGAGAACCAATGAGAGCATCTATCGAAAAAATAAATTATGACATTCCAAAATTCAACATAACAAAAAATTTAATCTCATCCGAGGTACGCTTTTTGTCCTCGAATTGGAATTTCGACAGAAAACTGAAAACAAAAGAGGCAATATTTTCAAAATTTTTGTATCGACAACAATTTTTTGACCAGTGACTCTCCAATCGAATTTAAAAACGGAATAAACAAACATATATACCTGACCTAGCACTGACGCAAATATTAGGATTTGGAAAGTTGGAGTAAAATTGGATTGCCGCTTCTCTTTCTGTGCAAAAAATATTTTTTGAAAATTTCGATCTTTTGTGGGGGAGGTACCAAAAGAAGCGGACCGATATATTCAATCTTAACACCAGACCTTGCGTTAATAAAAACAAGTTAAAATGCAGTAAGTTTGGCCGGGCCGAACTTTGAATACCCTCCACCATTTGTAACGAAATTGGAAATTTTCAAAAATAAAATCCGTTAAAAAATCTATCAAAATCTTAAAAATACCGAATATAGCCGTTATATTGGGGACTCTACGACGTGAACCTACATAGGCTTTGTTTGTCATAAGCCATTACCATATTCAAATTCGAAACTTGAAATAAACGGTGAATAATGTATCGTGACATCGGAGCTATACGAAGACCTGAACCAGCATAGACAATTTTCTGTGATAGGCTGTAGCATCTCAAACAATTTCGGTGGGTATTGTACCTAAAATCGTCAAAATACCGAATATAGGCAGGTAGTGATATATGGGGCCTATACGAAGAACTGAACCTGCATAGACAATTTTCTGTCACCGACTGTAGTTCCCATTGCGAACTCTAAATACGTAATTTGAAACTACTCCGGTGAATGATGACGCTAAAATCATCAAAATTGCATTTAATTTTAGAGGAAGTTTGGCACGAATTATGGCCTTCAAACGGCCAATGAAACACACACGCTGCCCGAATGTTGCTCTGCGGTATTTTGGCCCATTCCCCGCGAAGCGCTTGCTTGAAGTGATCGACACTTTGGTATTTTTAGTGCTAATCTTACTATTCCAAATACTCCAGACACAATAGTCAAACGCATTGATATCCGCATATTTTGGTGGCCATTGTGCGCTGGAAATGAAGCGAGGAACCTCATTTTGTAATCCCAATATATCGGCTAGACTCGGTATTATTGAGATTTTAACAACATTTTTAACGGATTTTATTTTTTGAAAATTTCCAATTTCGATCCAAATGCTTTTTATCTTGTTTGCTTTCATTCAATACAATTAAAAAATGTAAAAATTATGGCGCTCGACTTTGTATATGTCTCTAAAATATATATGTCCCCTAAAACTAAATATTAATCATTAAAAACATTTTAAAGAATAGAAACCTTCGCACAAACTTCTGATTATGCGTTAGCCTTTTCATTTTCATTTAGTCTACCTGGCGTCTGGCGACACTATAATTTTCTATGGATTCACCCCCCTTTACAAATACCTATAACATCGAGAAATTTCGCCTTACATGTTACAATTGTGTGCAGAGAAGCCACCAACCAATGGAAAAATGAGCAACAAAGAGAACAAATAAAACAAACTGAAATAATGTGCAGCACGTCACTTTCTCTTTACAAAACCTTTAAACATCTCTGTCGGTGTTCAAAATTAACGGTGCTTGTTAGCAGAGAATTTGCGAAATGTGCACTCATTTTGAGTGTTCCATTACATGGCATGCATTGAGAGGAAATGCAATTCTAGAAGACTGGCGAAATTTCTTTCTCTAATGAACAAATCAAATAAAAGACGACACAGCACTCTATTCGCAATTAGTCGAGTTCAGCAAGTCGTACGCTAAAGACAAAGAGTAGCAAAAGCAAAAATAAAGTGCGATACTCTCAATTGCGATAAAAAAAAAAACTAACCCAATTGAAATCGGAAAACACAATGTCCACCCTACCATTATTGTTGAGCCTTATTGATGAATTGGACCGTGAGTCGCCATCCTATTATGGAAATGATTTTGGCTTGGGTCTTTCGCCGTATCTGATTCACAGCCACGCTCATCGAGAACCCATCACAAACTCCATTGGCTACACCATGCCCTTGAGCTTGCTCAGCCGTTTGAATGAACGCCAAGCGGCCAGGCGACGCGATAGCAAAGAGGAGCGCGTATCGCCAATCGGTAAAGATGGTTTCCAAGTCTGTATGGATGTGGCCCAATTTAAGCCCAATGAGTTGAATATAAAAGTTGTCGATAATTCCATTATCATTGAGGGCAAACACGAGGAACGTGAGGACCAGCATGGCTATATACAAAGGCATTTTGTGCGCCGATATGTACTGCCCAATGGTTACGATGCAGAAAAGGTTGCATCGACTCTGTCATCAGATGGCATTCTCACAGTAAGTGTTCCAAAGCCACAGCTTGAAGACAAGTCCAGTGAACGCGTTGTGCAAATCCAACAAACCGGACCGGCCCATTTGAATATAAAACAAAACTCAAAGGAAAAGGCATCGGAAGCGAATGGAACAGCCACCAATGGTGCTGCAGACGAGGAGAAAAAATAGATGACAAAGAATGAGCCCATAATTGTAACTTTATCTAAAGTAAAGAGGCAATATTATCGCATTTCCTTACCACATTTAATAATACAATTAGTTTGTTGTCGTCATCGAACGTAATTGCCTTAATTACTTGCATTTTGTAGTCATACAAACATACAGACATATGTACTAACGTATTTATTAGTAGTATTAGAAATTAGATTTATTCATCCCATGTTTAAAAACATGAATTTCCAATTTACTTTGGATTATTTGACTGAAAATAAAAGACATGAAGTTAAACAGAATTGTTTATTTATTTTTTTACTTTTTGAAAGGAATTAATATTCCCTTTAACTAGGTTTTGGAATGCGAATTTTTGATTAATGGTAGGTAATAATAATTGCTCTGTTCCAGTAACTGCAAGAATCTACGGGTTTTGCAGTTTTTTTCGGTATCATTAAGGGAACATCGGTTATCCCGGTGAAAACTTTTACATTCTTGCAGATAAATGTATGTACCTATATATATGTGAATGCACATGTGTATATTTGAAGACAGAGTTTCATGGACCATAATTTTAATTAAAGAAAATCTCGGCGCTTTTGAGTTGGTGCGTTGTTAGAAGAAACCAGTAAAGAAAGGTCAAATGTCGGGTGGGTCCGACTATATGATACCCTACACCATTATGCGTACTTAGTAGAGCTCCCGTAAAAAAAAAGTTTTTATTGGAAATTTATGTGAAGTAGATCATACCAACTATGATCCAAATAACATTGCTGTATAGCGCATGATATGACTTCGATAAGGATTAGATTTAAACGTATTTATTGGAGCAATAGATATACCGGACCGAGGTTTATCAAGTGGTAAAATTCAATTGAATATGCAAAAATCTATTTAATTTGGACGGATATTACATATACATAATCGGATGAAGATGTACAGGGTGAGATAAAAAAACTGCAACAAAGTAAAACGCCATAATTTTTACATTTTTTTTTAAATTTTATTGAATGAAAGCAAAAAATGACGGAAATAGCATAAACTTTTCGAATAAGTTAAGATTTGTTCGGCATATGAAACCGTCACACGCTGTCCGAATGTTGCTATGCGGTATTTTGGACCATTCCCGGCGGAGCGCTTGCTTGAGGTGATCGAGACTTTGTTATTTTTTAGTACCAATCTTGCTTTCCAAAATACTCCAGACACAATAGTCCATCGGATTAGTATCCGGAGATTTTTGTGGTCATTGTGCGCTGGAAATGAAGCGAAAAACCTCATTTTGTAACCACTTGGGTGGCGCGTGCTGAGTGCGATAGTGCCGAGTCCTGTTGGAATGTCCAAAGCCAGCGGCTAAAATGTTTGCGTGTCCAAGGCTTTAAAACACCCTCCACGGTCGATTAATACCATCACCATGGCCGGCGCTTGAGTTCCTCTTTGGCAAGTAGACACGATCATTTTGTTTGTTTACAAACTGCTGAACAACGAATGTTTTCTCATCGAAGAAAACCAAATTCGGCAGTTCACCACTCTCTTTTGAGTCTATTTTCTTTCTGTTGCGGTGTAATTTCTTGCACTTTTTGGAATTTCAATGGCTTTACCCCGAGCTCATTTTTCAATATCTGCCGAATGGAATATTGCGATATTCCAGCCAAATATAAAGAAATCACACTATCACGCTTAAATTCCATCACGAATAACTTTTTTTTTTTTTTTGCAAAAATTCTCACAAAATGCTTTTGTTGGCTTGTAAAAAATATATAATAAACTGTCACTGGAATAGATTTAATAGCTGTCGGACGAGTGGCTTAGAAATTACATCAGTCTGAAGTTGGTTCCAGTTTTTTTATCTCACCCTGTAAATCCATTGTACATACAGAAATCAGAGATGAAAATCTGTTTATTGTGTAGTAAAATGTGAAAAGGTAAATTACAGAAAAATGCAGAAATGGGTATGCTTATATGAAATGACTTTACCTTCTAAATTCTTCCATGGCAGAATGTTAAATTGGAAAAACTTGAAGTAATAGTCAATTTGCATTCGAGCAGTAGAATTTTAAATATAAGCAAAACATTAATGCCCCGGCTACTGGGACACTTAACCTATGTATTCTATATCATAGCACTATATAAACCGTCCAAGTATGTTCAGGACCTTGACAAGCAAGGACATTCCGTTCAGGGGCATATGGTAACTACAAGTCTGGCAAATTTTCTGCCTGCAAGCATGTAAGAATGCTACTACAATAACCGACGTTTTCTTTATGATATCGAAATTAATTGAACAGCTAGTAGATTCTTGCAGGTTCTGGAGCAGACCATATATCTCCACACATAATGATATTATATATGTCTTTGCACTATGATTTACCTACCTAGAGCAATATTGATTTTCCACATCAAGCAGTAAAAAGGTCGTAATGACTGTAGTGTATTTCTAAATTTCCTAAATGCACTGTAACTCAAAACTGGATGACCATCAATAAAAAAATGTGTATCTACAACAGCAATATAGGTATCTAACTGGGTTTCAAGCATTACGTAGACTTGTATGACAACAGCTTTTAAATACTGATGAGGTCGACTCCTAACCTCATCACAAAGCGATGTAACTAACGAAAACAAGTAAAAAAGCTGTAAGTTCGGCCGGGCCGAACTTTTAATACCCTCCACCATTTGGTACAAATTTGGCAATTTCCAAAATTAAAACCCGTTAAAAATTCTGTTAAAATCTTAAAAATACCGAATGCTTATACGACGACGTGGGCCTGCATAGGCAACTTTTGTCATAAATTATTACAATATTTAAATGCGAAACTTGAAGAAAAATCTGTTTATAATGTAGCTAAAATCGTCAAAATACCGAATATGGGGGGTACCGTTATATGGGGGCTATACGAAGACGTGGACCTGCACAGACAATTTTCTGGCATGGGCTGAAGTATCCATTACGAACTTCACATACGAAATCTGAAACAATCCCTGTAAATAATGTCGCTAAAATCATTAAAATAGCGAATATCGGGGGGTACCGTTATATGGGGGCTATATGAAGACGTGGACCTACATGGCTCATTCTTTGACTTTGGATGAAGTATCCATTACGAACTTCAAATACCAAATTTGAAACGATTTCGGTAAACAATGTCGCTAAAATCATCAAAATACCGAATATCGGGGGTACCGTTATATGGGGGCTATATGAAGACGTGGACCTACATGGCTCATTTTTTGATTTAGGATGTAGTATCCATTACGAACTTCAAATACCAAATTTGAAACGATTTCGGTAAACAATGTCGCTAAAATCATCAAAAAACCGAATATCGGGGGGTACCGTTATATGGGGGCTACAGGAAGACGTGGACCTGCACAGATAATTTTCTGTCTTAGGCTGTAGCATCCATTACAAACTTCAAATGCCAAATTTGAAATAATTCCGGTGAATAATGTCGCTAAAATCATCAAAATACCGAATATCGGGAGGTACCGTTATATGGGGGCTACATGATAACTTGGACCTACATGGCCCATTTACGAACTTAACCTGCCTACTGGGAAAAAATACATGTGTGCAAAATTTTAGCCTTCTATCTCAATTTGTTCGAAAGATAGCGTGATTACAACAGACAGACAGACAGACAGACAGACAGACAGACGGACAGACAGACAGACAGACAGACACACAGACAGACAGACGGACATGGCTAAATCGTCTTAGAATTTTACGCTGATCAAGAATATATATACTTTGTTGGGTCTGACATGAATATTTCGAGGAGTTACAAACGGAATGACAAAATTAATATACCCTCCATAGTATGGTGGAGGGTATAAAAAGAAACGCCGCGAGATGATCTTTCTCGTTCCGTGGCTGGAAGGGAACTCAATTTATTTACAACATATTCTTAACACTAAAGCTTACATCTAATACATTAACACATGCATTTTATTTACTAATGCACGCTGTGCATTAACGCACACAATACGTTGCGGGAGAAAACGAGACGTACCTAATTTGTGATCGACTCTTTCTTATCTTCTATTTATGGCCGTGACATTTATTACATTATTTATTACCGACCATAAACCTAGCATTTGGAAAACACATGCATCTTAAGTGTTTTCTTTATTTAACTAATTTACATTCTTCGGAAAAGACAAATAAAAATGAGATAAGAATTTAAAGAAGAACATTCAACACACAAACTATTTTTACAACATGTACAGTTTCTACAAAACTAAACATACTCCCGGCCTTAAAAGATCCTAATCTTTTAACAAACTTCGATCGATTCTATTTTTTTTTTAAATTATATAAAATAAACATAATTTTCTTAATATTAAGAATTGGATAAAACTGTGCTAAAGTTATATCTTATTTCAAAATTAATTTCTAACATAAAAATAATCTCCGAAGTATGCTGCTTGAAACTAGGTAATTGCACCCATGACATCCACCAACCACTTGAAGTCTGGATCTCTCCGCCAGCGATGATCAGATACCTGGGATATTTTTAAATCCTTTCCATAATTCAAGGACACATCTACTGCATGGATACGTCGTTTACTTATACTCGTGTTGTTATGTTCACCACGTCTTCTGAACCATTCCGCACGTTCCAGACGGAAATTATCAATCTTCTCTTTATGTCCATCGTCAATACAATCCTTGGCCCGGATTTCACTTTCTTCTTTGTCAGGAGCAGCAAATACAAGATTTTTGTGTTCCTGTAAAGTCCTTGTGGGCAGCACTTCTTCAATTTTATTTTTTTTTGTTATTTTTCCTTCGACTCGCGGAACATCAAGGCGAACGTTTTCATTTTTACTTTCGATAGCTTCTAAGTCCTCAACTACCTTTTGATGAGTCCCTAAACTACCTTTAACATTGTCAACATGCTTCTTCATGTTCACCTTTTTAGGTGCTATTCTTGAAATGTTCCCACTTCTCACTATGCGGTAACAAATTCTAAGAAAATGGTAATGACTTGTGTAGTCATCCTGTTTTCCAACTACATCCAGATACCGCACGTATTGTGACGATAATGTTTGAAATTTTCTATCGATGTTTTCTATTTTTGAGAAATAACATCTTCTAATCTCCTCCCAAAAATCAAATAAAGCATCGATAAGTTTAACCGTTATCCCAATGTCTGGCGGCTGTAAATGGAACAGTAAGGCATTTTTCCCACACTGTTCCGATGAACTTAAGCTGTTCACCTCAGCTAAATAACCGATATCTAAACGTGGTATTTCTATGGGCACAAAAACACCTATGCCGTTTAGAACTCTCTCGATATCTTTAGTCGCATAGCACACTCCCAAGGCGTCTATGTAATCCGAGTATGTAAATTTTTTCATACGACGGAGTTCTCTATCGTTATCTAAATATTCCTTTCTTGCTTCTGTAAAGGAACTACCTAACTTGGTAAATTTTTCCCTAGCTTCCTCAGTTACACCACACAGAGCAATTTTTTCCATTTCTAAATAAAGTGACACAATATACTCGCCCAACATCCTTTGATGTTGAATGAAGTCTACAAAATTCATATTGACGAAATATATGTGCACTCAAAAAATAAACGAATAAACTAATCACTTTTTTCTACACGTCTATTGCGTTAGTATATGGAGAGATAGATCGACAGAATCTTTCACTGCTACCTATCATGTCTCCTTTTACACAACTAAAAGATCTAACACTATCCTTGCTTCAACAGTGCACCTTTTACGTCGCTACAACAAATAAGCCTAACACACTTCACTACTACGAAAATGCGCGCCTATCACGTCATTTATTTCGCATAAACTAATATTTTCTCGGACACTGAAAATATAGCCTATCGAATAACTTCACTAACTACACGCGATACTATCACGTCGGGGTCACCAAATGATGAGGTCGACTCCTAACCTCATCACAAAGCGATGTAACTAACGAAAAAAAAAGAAACGCCGCGAGATGATCTTTCTCGTTCCGTGGCTGGAAGGGAACTCAATTTATTTACAACATATTCTTAACACTAAAGCTTACATCTAATACATTAACACATGCATTTTATTTACTAATGCACGCTGTGCATTAACGCACACAATACGTTGCGGGAGAAAACGAGACGTACCTAATTTGTGATCGACTCTTTCTTATCTTCTATTTATGGCCGTGACATTTATTACATTATTTATTACCGACCATAAACCTAGCATTTGGAAAACACATGCATCTTAAGTGTTTTCTTTACTTAACTAATTTACATTCTTCGGAAAAGACAAATAAAAATGAGATAAGAATTTAAAGAAGAACATTCAACACACAAACTATTTTTACAACATGTACAGTTTCTACAAAACTAAACAAATACAAAACAAATAACGTGGTGCTGGGTAGGTAATTTTTTGTCATAGGCTGTAGTAACGATTCCGAGCTTCAAATACGAAATTCGAAACATATCCGGTGAATAATGGCGCTAAAATCATCAAAATACCGAATAAAGGTAGGTACCGTTGTATGGGGGCTATACTTACACATGGACTTGCAAAGAACATTTTCCATCAATTCCGGTGAATAATGTCGAGAAAATCCTGGAAATACCGAATATCTCGGGGTAGCGTTATATGAGTTCTATTCTCTTGCAATTCTCTTCCAAGGGGTAAAGTACTCAGTGGGAACTCCTTGTGTAGATTTTAAGCCAATTCCATCGAAAATTGTGGCTAAACTCATCAAAATACCCAATATAGGGGGGGGGCACCATTATATGGGGGCTATATGATATCGTGGACCTATATAGACAATTCTCTTTTAAGGAGTGAAGTACTCACAGAGAACTCTTTGTGTAGAATTTCAGACGATTCCATTGAAAAATGTGGCTAAAATCATCAAAAAACCGAATTTCGGGGGTACTGTTATATGGGGGCTATACGATATGGTGGACCGATAAAGCCCATCTTCGAACTAGACCTGCTGCTGACAAAAGATAGATTGGATCCAAATTGTAGCTATCTTTATTTGTTTAACTCTAGTATGATTCCAACAGACGGACGGACGATCAAGAATATATATACTTTGTGGGGTCTAAAATGTATATTTCGAGGGGTTATAAACGAAATGACAAACTTAATAAGCCCTTCACGCTATGGTGGAGGATATAAAAAATATGTAAAAATCACTATGCCATTACTGAAATCTCGAATTTCCAAACTTCATGCGTTGCACTTTATACAATACTGTGATTATGGGATGCCCAAACACCTGGTATAAAAGATGCAGCCCTCCCTTTACCAAACCGAATACATATTCTCTTTTGAAATATTAAGAGCAGATAACGTATGCGCTAAATGTACGCTCATACAAGGATAGAGACAAGAATTGGCAAAGCTTTTATTTTAAAGTTTAACGCCACCAGCGGAAAGAAATAAAGTTGATTCAGTCAGCACTCGTCCAGGCAGAAATCAAGTCCAGTTTGCTGCAAGCGCACCCATTAAGTTAAAAAAAAGAAGTAGATACCTATCTAGTTCCAAGAAGAACATACAGTTTCATTGTAAATTCAAAGTATTTTTTCCCGGATACAAGGAATATAATGGCCGCTTTACCTTTTCTACTGAACTTGGATCCCCATCCATTTTACAATCCTGACATGTTCCCAAATAGTGTTTATCGCAGGCATCATGCTCGTCAGCATCACCCATTGGATATGCATACCATGGGCTTAATATCTCGTCTGGCCCCTCATTTTCGCCATTTGGAAATCTCCAAAGGAAAGGATGATCTTTCGCCCGTAGTCGGCGGAGGTCTCAATCATAAAGATGAGGAGTTTTCTGTATACCTTGATGTTGGACTCTTTCGTCCGGACGAGTTGAATGTAAAAGTGGTCAATAATCATTTGATTATTGAAGCCAAACACGAAGAACGTGAGTCCGATGATTCTGGTTATATATCACGTCACTTTGTGCGGCGCTATGACCTGCCGAAGGATTGTGACCACGATGCCATTGTATCGAAACTTACTGCGGATGGTGTATTGAGTGTCACATTGCCCAAAATTAAGGACGGGGTCAAGGAACGAGTTATACCCATACAGCAAACTGGACCACATGACCTATTTTTGAAAAATAAATCAAATGATGAGGAAAAGGATAAAACAGACCAATAAATGGCTCAAACCCAACAGTTTAGCAAAGATATTGAAGATTTTTAGTAATGATATCAACTCACTAATATTTTAATCTAATTGAATATATATTTATCATATAATGATTAAATAAATCTTATTAATAACAATACCATTTATATACGATCTAAAATTAAATACTTTTCAATGATACTTTTGTCAGATGTTTATCCACTCTTGCAAAACCAGCGCTCCATTGATGTATTCACTTGACTTTGTAATAAAAAGTATAATGGAATATTAAATGTGTATCTTTTTCAATAAATAAAAAATACATTTATTCATAAATTAATTCATTAATTCCACATCATTTTAACCTCAATATTTAAATGGCAAATAAAGAGGAGCTTTTAGTTGTGTGGGAAATATATATATCGCTAGCTAAAATGCAAAAAGGCGGAATGTCATATAAGAAATGCGATGTGAAGACCAATTGCGAATGTCACAAATATCGTAGGATTTCACAACAGAAAAATATTTCAAACTGGGTCATTTATCCACATACTTTTCTTTCAAATTATAAAACAAATGAAACGATTAAGCAAAGTCACGGACATATCCTTGTTCTGAATTGTCTTGTAATCCAGACAAAGCTTCAAACTTTCCAAAACAAATTGTGTGTTCCAGTACCTGCAAATTAGTAGTAGTAAACATGATTCATTAAAGAGGTAGAAGCGCTTCGTATAACTAATACAGCTTTGTGACTATTTCTGAACTATTCAAAATTATATGCAACAAGTTACTTTAATTCACTTTTTTGTTTCTTATTTAAAATGTGTTAAATTGCGCAAAAGATCTTTTATTTTGTTAAATCTTCTAATTCCATGGCCAAACTAGTTAAATTCTTTAAAACACGCATTGCAATGTTTGTATTTATTTTTCTGAAGAAAAAATATTTGCAAAATCAATGATTGGAAGAAACCTACATTGCTGTGCGCGCATATACCTTCCTTTTCAAGGGTACCAGAAAGAAAACAATTTGAACTTATTTCACATCCAGTTGCAACAAAATGCATATTTTCGACGCTATTTTGCACCCGCTAAACACCCTTGCCCAACAAAAGATCCGGAGTATCCGTCCGATCGACGGTTAAACGGCACACACTGCATGTACCACAATCGATATGCTGAAGGATGCATATCCCGGGCGCCTAATCTCCAGTTTTGGCGATTTGCATTGGCCAGCAAGATCGCCTGATTTGACCGCTTCATGTACATTCTTCTGGACTGAATTCGTTCGGATGTGCCAAAATTCAGATCATTTGGACTGATTTTGGCCATTTGGTGCACAATTAACCCGTAATCGATTGAAGGTATATATGGGAGCTATATCTAAATCTAAACCGATTCTTACAAATTTCAATAGGATTCGTCCTTGGGTCAAATATTGTTTGGAAAATTTTATCTCAATCGGATAATATATGCGATATGCGTTTTGTTCACATGGACAGGCGAACGGACTGACATGCATAAATCGGCTCAAAAAGCGATTCTACGAAGATCCTCAAAATTAACTATGGGTCTATCTCGGGTAACATTCAGTGGCACCCAAAAGTTAAGTGACATTTTCTCTGACATCTAGAGAGGCTTTCGTGTAGTAGAACAAAAATAGATACAATTTTTAGAAATCGGATGAACAATAAACGCAATAAGCCACTGATATTGTGAATTTGCAGAGCTAAGCATTTTTAGAATGCAAATGACTGATTTCTTGTGCTATTGAAAACTGTTACCTTATATTTTTAAAAAAAAAAAACCTTACGTGTTACTAAAATATAGCTTAAATTATGAGTACAATGCATAATGTAAAATTTCTAGTATATTGTGCGCAATGTCAGGCAAAATATACATCAGCGGCTATGTTAATTTATATTTCGATTTTCTTTCACGATCTTCCATTTTTTGTCGTTGCATCTCCAACATTTGTAAACGCATTATTTGTAATTCTGATTTTTCGTCGGGTTTCTTTCTTTCTGTATGGCTTAAAGATCCGGAGGCATTTATTCGAGCATTGCTACTGTCTTCCGTTTTGGTGGCATGGGGGCTCAAAGACCAAGTATTTGCTCCAATATCCGTAACGTTAGCAGTACCAACTCCATTATCCACCTTCATTTTTTTCGTCACGTTTGATTGATCGTTCAGTTCATCTACCGTAGGGGAATCTCTGGCAAGCATCCTAGAAAGAATTTCCATCAACTCCTTATGCCTTCGCTCACGATTCCGCTCCCGAATTTCATTAATTTCAAATAGGGTTTTCCTTATTGTTTGTCCCAAATTTCGGATAGAATTTGCATCTTCTAATCCGCCGTCAAGGACACCTTCTACGATATTTGCGCAATAATCCGCATCGCTATCATCAGAATTATCTGCGCTTGCAATTACAGTTGAGACAACCTTTTGTTTGGAATCATCACAGAGTTTTCTTTTCTTCAACATTGCAATCCAAATCTACAGGCACTACCTGGTACATGAAAGACGTCCCCAACGAAACGAATATGAAGGCCAAAAAGGAATACCCGATAAAAAAAAGAACAGAAATCAAAATCCCGAGGTACTCTGTTGTTTACGAATAATACATGAGGAATACGCAATCGGAATGAACACATTCATTAAATGAGCTGCGGGACTAACTTATTTTCGTTTCGTTTATTAACCCATTCGCTGCCAAAGCGAGTATTTTCGCCCTACTTTGAATACATTTTAACATGTAGGCCATGGTGGAACCATAAAGGTAAAGTCATGTAATCATATGTTTATATTTTTTTCAAATTTATACATTTGACAACATCTCATTGTCAAAATCTATATTCATAAATCCTTTGCATACACACAAAATCAGAGATGGGAACTGTTTTTTATACATTGAAATTTGACAAAGTAAATTAAAGAAAATGCAGAGTTGGGAACGCTAATTTGAAGAATACAGGTATACAGGGGACAATGAACTGTCAAACCGATTTTGATATTGAAATCGTGAATGAAAAGTTATTGAAATTTGCAAAAATTGTTGAAAAATACATATCATTACAACCTCCGATTTGCGTCGTATAAAAGAACATATAAAAATCGACTTATTATTGACAAAGCACTTACTACTATCAATGTTCCCAAGCGTTGATGCATCTACCTATATTCTTCTACCATGGAAATTTCATTGTACCATGCATGTAGGCCATCGAATTACCTATTGTATATATATATAGCTATAATACTTTAAGGCCGGTAATTACGTCTTTTCGATAGATAATAAAATTATGTTGTCGGACAAATAAATCGTGCTTCGTTAATTCAATTTTTTACAAATATAAACTGATCGATAAGCAAAATGTCAGAGAATGTCTTAATAAGAAAGGTTGCTCAACTTCAAAGCAACTAGGAATTTGCAACTCTGTACGGGAGCGTTATAGAGTCAAATAGACTTTTAAACATCCAACAATTGGTTTTATTTATTCTACATTTTTTCATAACGTTAATATATATTTGGGTAAAACCTACGAAACATGAATTCAATATTGGATTTTCTCCACAAAATTGAATCCAATTTGTGCCATGGGATGACCATGGTAGAATTAAGAAGATAAAGTCATTCAATCATATGTTCACTTTTTTTTTGAAATTATTCATTTGACAACATCTCATTGTCAAAATGTATACTTGTGAATCCATCCATACATACACAAATCAGGGATAGGAACCTACTTTATTTGAAATGACTTTACCTTCTTAATTTTACCATGGATCAGACCATCTTCCCTTTATAATTTAACATAAAATTTATTGAATTCATGTTGTCATATTTTATACTGATAATTTCCCATTTCAGCAAAATAAATTCCAAAAAAAAATGGATAACGCAAATAGTTTATTTTATGTTAAAGGACTAAATTGAAGTTTTATTTCACTAAATGAAACAATGGACTGTAAAACTATTTTTGAAATTGAAATGTTGAATGAAAAGATATTCAAATTTCAATTCCAAAATTGGTTTGACAGTTCATTGTCTCTGCAGCATTATGTATTTTTATATTAGGTGTGTCTGGTTACCCTAAAATTGGTAACAATTGTTACAAATTGTTACTGGAAGTCGTCTGTTAACCCAAAAGTTCTGCAAAAGAGAGCGGTTGGAGAGAGAAATTTTGACAGTTCTTTCAGTGAGAGTTTGCAAATTCTTGCTGGAAAAATTTCTTCTTGCAATTACTTGCAACTCTTCTTCTTCTCATTCATCGACATTCAATCAGATGTTTTCTATTGTTTGTTTATTTATTTTTGTGCTTTCAATTTGAAAATATTTTTTTTGAAATGGGCAAGACTAATTGTTTTTTGAGATAAACTTTACAAAATGTGAAAAACGTAAATATTAATATGTAATAAGAAAATAAAAGGCTATTTCCAAGGTTTTTAGACAAACGCCATTAGCAACAAATTGAAAGGACTCCGGGGAACACATAAAATCTATATATCTTTTATTGCTCATATTTTTGTTTAATTGCTAATTTCCTTTTTATTTAAAAAACTTGTAAAATTGGTGGTCCTTCCTTTCATTTTATTTTTATAATAGGGGACATATTGGTTTGTTTTGACAAATCAGCTGATTAGTTGCAAGCTTTTGCAGGAATACCGTCTGTTTACTTTTCGCATTTTCCTTGCAAAAGAGAATAAAACTACCTTACTCTCTCAGAAAGATTTTGCTGGACAATTCCTGCAGGAAAAGTAACCAGACACACCTATTATTGAGCCATGAGGGCACCAAATCCTTCTGTAATTGTGCCATGGGCATATCAATGTCAAATTATGAGGAAATACGACGGCAGGATTTGAGTGCAGCTTATAAAAACTTAAGGTGCAGTACGTAAAAAGCTTGAAGTCATGGCTTGCCAAATTATAATGGAAAACCACGACAGAATTTTAGTGCGGCTCTGTAATCCCTTTATTAAGCGTCACAAAATATGGCTAGCCATGACTTCAAGCTCCTTATGTACTTACGCCTTTACTTATTTTTGAAAAAAAAAAACAACAATTTAAAAAGTTTAACTTATCAGTGTTCCTAAGCGTTGATGCATCTGCCTGTATTTTTACACCATGCCTTGGACCTTATACTTGGGCTATGTTGTGAGTGAAAAAAACGAGAGAGAAAGAAAACTCAGTGGGATAACGCAATGTACTCTTCTCAATATAATCTTCTCGTTATTTTTATTTTTTTTTTAAGGAGAAGTGAAAGTTTTACACCTTTTTGAACGGAAACAGCTGTTTGGGCAAAACTAGTAGAAACTTTTTCGTTCCGGAACACAACTATTATAAAGGGATGCCAGAGCCGTAGTCGAATACAGTCGTTTTCTCTTAAAACCATGGTAGAAGAATATAGGTAGTCGCATCCATGGTACAATGATATCAAGGTAGGGCTATGATACCATATGATTTCAATTTATTTATTTTCTTGGCTTAATATGTCATCTTTATTTGTTTATGTATGCGTTTTCTTTTCGATAACAAAAAAAAATTCTTCAGAAAACATTCAATTTCGGGTGTTTTCAAAATGTTTATTTCAACGTATGCATCGACAAAATCTAGAGTTTTTATAGCGAAATAATCCTTTAGAGATATATAGAACCTGGTTTTGAAAAGAAGTGTTGACCTTTCGTTCAGTTTTCGCGGTTTTCAATTATATATTCAAAATAAATGCAACAAGTTGTTTGATTTTTTATTGTTTTTATACTAATTCTGACATTACAAGCCAAACAGGTAGACCTCTATACTTGCAATTTTTTCAAACTTGGCCTACCTTCTCTTCATTGTACCATGGTCGCATCGACACAGCTGCTGGGACAATGAACTGTCAAAACAATTTTGGAATTGAAAATGTTGAATGAAAAATTATTTAAATTTGTAAAAATTGTTGAAAAACGCGAATTATAATGACCTCCGAATGACGTCGTATAAGAAAACATTTAAAAATCTACTTATATTTGAATACACATTTAAAGTTTTTTGACATATCAATGTTCCCAAACGTTGATGCATCCATGGTACAATGAAGAGAAGGTAGGTCACATGGTACAATGAAGAGAAGGTAGGTCAACTTTGAAAAAATTGCAAGTATAGAGGTCTACCTGTTTGGCTTGTAATGTCAGAATTTGTATCAAAACAATAAAAAAATCAAACAACTTGTTGCATTTACTTTGAATAAATAATTGAAAACCGCGAAAACTGAATGAAAGGTCAACACTTCTTTTCAAAACCAGGTTCTATATATCTCTAAAGGATTATTTCGCCACAAAAACTCTAGATTTTGTCGATGCATACGATGAAATAAACATTTTGAAAACATCCGAATTTGAATGTTTTCTGAACAATTATTTTGTTATTGAAAAGAAAACACATACATAAACAAATAAAGATGACATATTAAGCCAAGAAAATAAAAAAATTGAAATCATATGGTATCATAGCCCTACCTTGATATCATTGCACCATGGTAGGTCAACTTTGAAAAAATTGCAAGTATAGAATTCTACCTGTTTGGCTTGTAATGTCAAAATTAGTATCAAAACAATAAAAAAATCAAACAACTTGTTGCATTTATTTTGAATAAATAATTGAAAACCGCGATAACTAAATCAAAGATCAACACTTCTTATCAAAACCATGTACTATATATCTCTAAAGGATTATTTCGCTACAAAAACTCTAGATTTTGTCGATGCATACGTTGAAATAAACATTTTGAAAACACCCAAATTTGAATATTTTCTGAAAATTTTTTTTGTTATTGAAAAGAAAACACATACATAAACAAATAAAGATGACATATTAAGCCAAGAAAATAAAAAAATTAAAATCATATGGTATCATAGCCCTACCTTGATATCATGGTAGGGCTATGAAACCATATGATTTTAATTTTTTTATTTTCTTGGCTTAATATGTCATATTTATTTGTTTATATATATTTGCCAACATATAGACGTCTGTCGCCGCCAATAGAATGACATATGGTTCGCCGCAGTCAGAAGAATAGTTCCGCTTCGTTGTCTGGGTGGGACTAACCTCGTTTGTTTAAAAATGTTTTGTTTACTTTTGCGGCAATTTTCCAATGGAGCTCTGCACAGGAATTTGCAGCAACTTAGAAGAATACCCCAAACGAAGCTTCTACACACAACTTCTGGTAAGGCATTATATTGTGATATCTTGTAACATGATAAGTTATTTGAAGACTTTATACAGTCTTTAGGCACGGGGAATATGAATGGCAAGACCCAAAATCGGAGGATGAAATGTAAGAGAAATCCAACTTCTAACCCAGTGGCACTCATTTGTTTGGCATTTGAAATATTTTTGTAGCGTTCGAGTTACGTTTATTGACAAGAATGGAAAACGAATCAAAGTGAATGGAAAGGTTGGGGACAATGTTCTGTATTTGGCTCATCGATATGAAGTTGAAATGGAAGGTATATTTTTGAGTGTTTTGTAATTTATGTAATCATTGTTATTGCATTAGCATTTCGTTGACTGTGCAGAATCATAATAAACTAAGGACTTGTGAAGAGGGAAATTTGAAAACTACCAAAATGATTAGATTTTTTATATATAATTCATTCATAACTGTATTCAATTCTTTCATTTCGCAGGTGCATGCGAAGCCTCTTTGGCTTGCACAACTTGTCATGTGTATGTGCATGGGGATTATTTGGAGAAATTACCAGAGGCAGATGAAAAGGAGGATGACTTATTGGACATGGCACCCTTCCTAAAAGAAAACTCCCGATTAGGCTGTCAAATAATTCTAAATAAGGAATTGGATGGGATTGAACTGGAACTTCCTAAAGCTACGAGAAACTTTTATGTTGATGGGCATAAACCAAAACCACACTAGACCTAGCCTTGTTTTCCGAATATTTGTATTATAGTTTTGATATTTCTGTTGAGCTTTATTAAACAAAGTATACTGTAATTTAATAAATAGTGATATAAAATGGACATTAGCGTAACATATTTTATTAGTGCATCTACAGTCGCAATTTCTCAAGAATACTAAAAAAGCAGTGGAGCATTACCGATGAACAAATACATTTCGGTCAACTAGAATTTGGCGTCTCAACGTTCACATATGTCTTCCTGTGGTAGCACCAAAACAGACATATGCATTGGAAGCAATGTAGTTGCCAATCGCTAAAAAACCAGGTTTGTGTAGAGGGCTTCTTGTTTTTAATTCGCAAATACAGATCGTCTGGAAAGAGAAATTAACTCAAAATACTCAGTATTTTTGTATATTTATTTTACTGTCTGAGCCCGCTAAACATCTTTTATCAAAAAGGAGTGCAACTTCTGCTGTGTTGAAACAGTCTTTAGGCACGAGGAATATGAATGACAAATGCATCTGCACTAAAACAAACACGGCCCTTGTAAGACATCATCCACGCCAAATATGCCTGATGAGTCGCTTAAACAAAGGCGAAAAGTGTCGAAGAGTATGAAATTCCTTTCCACTGCCAATTTCACATCATCCACTGCAAACACAAATCGTCTGGAAAGAGAAATAAGCTCAAAATACTCAATTTTTTATATTTATTTTACTATCTGAGCCCGCTAAACATCTCTAATCAAAATCGAGTGTAACTTCTGCTGTGTTGAAACCAAAATTTGCCAAATTTCCTCCCCTTCAATTCTTGTGAAGAAAAATGACCAATATCAACATGGCCCCATAACGTAACGGCCACTCCTTGCTTATTTTCGAAGAAAAAAATGGTCCAACAAATGTATCTTCACTAAAACAAACACCAAACATTGAATCGTTTTGGATACATCGGCCTTTTAAAGTGCGCTTTTGGGTTTTCAGCAATAACTATTAAACACTACAAAAGATTCGCGCTTAACTTTTCTTGCCTGCGTTTTTATGTTAATTGTTATAAACACACGATTTTTGTTGAGTATATAGCTTAAATTACATATATTTTCCTTGTCTCATTCTTTCCATGATCATAATAATAATAGTATTATTTTCAAAACACTATACGGTTTTTGTTTATTTTATTACATTAAAATTAAATTACAAAAATTAGTCATACACTATTCTAAAAGAATAATAATTAAAAAGAAACAGAAAATGTGCATTACAATACTTATTTTCTGAACCAAGTATAAATCAAAATCGGTAGCATAATTAACTAGTATAATTGTTGTAATATTTCCATTAAAATAGAAAGTAAATGAATATATATTAAAAAATATAAAATTAAAATTTGGAAAATATGTAGTTGTGATATTTATTTATTCATTTAAATAGTGTTTTTTTAAACACAATGAGAAAAGTCTCCCAAGTTCCTGAATTAGTCTGAATGTATGTTTCAATGTTAACATAAAAGGGTGAACATTAAAATTTGATCTACATCAAAAGCTTTACGCATATTAATTTGAATCAGGAGAGTTAGAACGAGAGCGTGAAGGAGAATGTGAAGCTGACCGGGAACGAGACCCAGAACGAGATCCTGACTGCGATCGCGATCTTGAACGGGATCGTGATCGAGATTTGGACCTAGATTTTGAACGAGAGCGCGAACGGGATCGTGAGCGAGAGCGCGATTGCGAACGAGATCCGGAACGAGATCGCGATTGGGATACTTTAGCTTCCTCTGCTTTTGTTTGGACGTCTTCTGTTTGTGTGTCGCTCTTTTCAGGCTCTGGGCTTTTTTCTTTGGGTTCTTCTTCCTCCTTTGGCGATTTCTTAACATCATTTTTATTGGACATTTCAGAATCGCGCGAATCTTCTTCACTCTTGCGATCTTCTTCATTTTTCCGCTCTTCTTTGTCGTAATCTTTATCCGATGATTCTGTTGCTGCAGTCGCCGCAGTAATGTCCTCTTTGGGTGACTGATTTTCCCGATCACGTTTTTCTCTCTCTTTCTCACGAGGTGCTCCTGTCCCATTGTTCTTTTTGTTAGCCTTTTTAAGTCCAGCCACTTCCTTCAAAAGATTGGCAATTTTGCGATTTAAATTTTCCACCTTCATTTCATTCAAACGCTCTATTTCTTTGAGTTTGTTGCGCATTTCGATTTCTTTTTCAAAGTTTTTGCCCTTTAGCTCAGTCAACTGGAATCAAATAACAATTTGAAATAAGTAAAAAATTAAAAAATAATAATATTTATAATGCGACCATACCAGTTTATCTTTTTCTAGCAGCTCCTTGTCTTTCTGATTTAAACGTCTTTCCAGACTGGCTATACGTTCTTTTAATGTAGTTAATGCCACAACATGATCTGCCGAGTTCGGGTCAATTGTAATAACAGCAGCGGGAGCTGCTATTGACCCCAAACCATTACCACTGCTAGAAGATACGTTGCGAGAAATTTTCTCTGGTAAATCGAGACCGGCTGCACTTGCTGCTGAAACAGTGGCCGAACCTGTTCCGCTATTGGCCTTTGCAACTTCACTACTACTACGAGCAGGTTTCTTCGCTGAAGCCGATGAGCTGTCGCGATGCGATTTTTCATGAGGGCGCTTCTTTGATGATATACGTCCTTCTTGCTGAGCCTTTAACCAAGCCCTTTTATAGGCACAGGTGCATAACCAGCATAACAACTTTCCGTTTATCTACAAAAAGGGAAAAAGGTTAGTATAAAATGAAAATTAAAAATTTCACGCTACGAACGCAAACACTTTTTTGGATAAATCACCAAAATATATTTTACTAAATTCTACTGTATTTTGCAATATGTAATTACAATTTTTTAGGCTATTTTTTATTTGCAGTACTACGAACAAAACAAGAATTATTCTTGTATCGAACCTTTTTATTTTCGTCTCGTCTATCGAAAGCTGACCTCAGCTTACATTCATCACATTGTACAGGTGGTCCATATCTTGCTTCATAACTCGCACATCTATATATATATGTTTGATCAAAATCAGGACGGATTTATTTCCAATGATTAACCATCATAGGAGAACAGCATCAATACATTATTTGCAAGGGCAAATTGTATATTTGTTTCGTTCGTTGTATGTAGAAAAAAGAGAAGAAAAATGTTTGCGTTCTTAGAATGATGAATTTTTATATTAAAAATCGTATCTAAATGTTTATCACTGATCACTGGTTCAAGTTCTTCGTATATGATATTTTGATTGAAAATGCCAAATCATGTGAAAGTAAAAATTAAAAATTAATATTTACTTGTATTATCAAGTAAAACATATCTCAATTTTTGAACGTGCAGAAGTCCCCAGCCCCTAGTTCTCATTAAAAAGTTAAAATATTTTACATGACCAGAGTACTGTATATTGTAAAAAACTAATAGGACGTCTATTAGTGGGGTTAAAAATGTTATCAAGTATCCAATAGGAATATAAGTACATATTTATACATTTTGACACAGTGAAAAACAGTTAGATACAATATTATGCAAATTCTGAACTCACCTCATGCACTTGGAACCTCCAAAAGCGGCAACAATTTTACAGCATTCGCAGGCACTCGGTTTACCATATTTATTCAAGTTGTGTTCGCACTTTTTGCAAATATTTTGAGCCTTGCTGTGAGGTAAAAATATAATTTGATGGGAATTAAATTAGAAAAATAAATAACTGGCCTATACTTACGAACTTGGCTGGAATTCCGATCGACAATAAGTACATTTTACAACTGCGCTTGAGGACGATGTGGACGAAGAACTGCCACGACATGTCTGAAAATAACAAAACCAATGTCTTAAAATTCAACAATGTGATTTTTTTCAGTGTAGTGATGCATCAGTTATAGACGCCAATTTTTTGCCGCTTCTCCTCTGCTGACGAAAACAGCTACACTGCTCATATTAAAGTGACAATTTCGTCTTCATCGTTCATGATTAAAATAGGATCAATTATAATTTCAAGTCCACTATCACTTTTTTTGTCTTCGTCAATGTTACTAATATTAATACCATCATAGCTAACCTTGCAAAGTTGGGTTCCTGCTGACAATTCTTCGAAAGGGTGTCTAGAGAAGCATTTTGAACAAGCAAACAAAACTTTTCCACTCATTTTATTTCGATGCAACGATGGGATTTAGGATTTTTATGGTAAAGAAACACAATCTGATTTCTGGGGAGTTCCTCGTCAAGTATTTGAAGTCTTTATGTTTGTTGTTTTAACTTAAAGCGACGCAATAGAAATCGAGAAATCGGAAAGCTGCTGGATTAATTTTTGCAAATCGTATCGACGACAGAGAACAGAGTCATATCGTTTTTAATGCCGCAAGAAAACACAATGCAGTAACGCCGTAATTTCCACAAAAATGGTTGCTCTGCTAATACATTGATTTCAGTAGAAAATTTACAACAATAATTGCTTCTCAAGGTATGGCACAATATTAAAAACGTGAAGATTTTACAAAAGCGTGTTAAAAACAAATTTACTCTCGGTAAAGATAGTCAATCTTCTTAACAAGGCTAACGGCGTCAAATTCTATATGAAGCAAAATGGCGCGAAGAGACTAGGGATGACTAAGTCGAATTTTGACTAAAGGTGAGAAAACACAAAACGCATTTTGACTTTTTCGTTTAACACATGATAGCAGAATACAGGTAGTCGCATCGATGCAGCTGCTGGGACAATGAACTGTCAAACCAATTTTGGAATTGAAAATTTTGAATGAAAAGTTATTGAAATTTGCAAAATTTGTTGAAAAATATCACCATGACCCTCGATTTTTGTGCAATAAGAAAACATTTAAAAATCTACTTGTCACAACATATTAAAATTTTCGACATATCAATGATCCCAAACTTTAACAACATTACCAAAAAAATCGACGTAGCGCACACAAATATTCAACATCCCCACTACGGTAAAATGTTTTGTACGCCCGTATTACCCAAATACGCCTACCACCAATTAACGTTTTAAAAATTGATAATTTTCAAAATTTAAGCAATTGTTTTGTCTACCATGTTACAGACATTTACATATTTAAATTATTCGTTTCAAAACAAAACAAAATATTCAATTGTCAATGTTCAAAATGTTAAACTTTGAAGTTTTGTACACCTGGCGTAAATAAAGTAAATAAAGTTACTTTTTACTTTAAAATTTGTTATGGTCACTCTACTATCTGTTACTCGTATAAAAAAAACATAATTAATTTGTTTATTTATTTGTGTACTTGCGCCTGAGTGAAGATGGATATCAGTGAATTTATAATAGAGAAGATGGACATAAGTGAAATTATAATAGAGAACGTAAAGAATTATGTGTTCTTGTATAATTCATTGTAGTCAACAAATGAGCAAAAAGTAAACAACTTCATCAGCTGTTTTATAATTTCGTCGGTATTGTGTTCCATACGACGAATTTTCGCGGCTCATTTTGTCGCCGCGTAGGGCGAAATTCGTCGTTCGCTCCAATTGTGTTCCTAGCATTAAGAAGGTAAAGTCATGCAAGTATATGTATTCAACATGGGAGAACTAAAAAGGTAAAGTCATGTAATCATATGCTTGCAATTTTGTCAAATTTATACATTTGACAACATTATCAAAATGTATTTTCATATACCCATTGCATACACACAAAACCAGAGATGGGGACTGTTTTTTATGCCTTGACATTTGACAAGATAAATTACAAAAAATGCAGAGCTGGGAATGCTTATTTGAAATGAGGTTACCTTTATTTCATTGTACCATGGTGTTCATTTGACAATATCTCATTGTCATAATTTTTATTTTTAAATACATTGTATATTCAGAAATCAGAGATGGGAGCCTCTTTTCTATGCAATCCAATCCAAACACGATGTTTCTCGATTGAAATATATTACATTCGCTTTATGTTTAGAAACGAATGTGGAAGCATATAACGTGCCTATTTAAGTTTCTAAGGGTGCAAGTACATAAGAAGCCTGAAGTCATGGCTAGGCATATTTTATAAAATCCTTCCGTCGTTTTCCATTATAATTTGACATTAATATGCCTAGCCATGATTTCAAGCTTTTTATGTACTTGCACCTTAAATGATTTTCTTGCTCTGCAAATGTCAAATTGTCGAGGAATGTCAGATCCGATCTGCAAATTTGACGCCGTTGCCCTTCATGACTTTGCTTCAATGAAGCAAAATATTAGACTTTTTTCGTCTTTTACGAAGGTCGGCCATTCCGTTAAGAAAGTAATCGCAACTGGTAAGAAAACTTAACATCATAAATGGGTGAAAAAAGCATGCAATAATGAAATCCCTTAATTTTTTCTACTGGGTAATGGTAGATGAATACATTTTTAAAATGTTTTCTCAAAAAATATGTAGATGTTTATATTTTAATACAGCGCCATTCGGAGGTTATTATGAAATTTATTTTTTTTTCAAAAATTGTACAAAATATCAAAATCTTTGATTGAAAATTCTCAATTTCGATGTTAATTTGAAAGCTCATTGTCCCAGAGGCTGTTTCGATGCGACTACCTGTATTCTCCTACCATGTTACTGGGTTGTGTAAATGTGGATGAATTAAGGTAAGGGTACATAAACAGCTCGGCATTATGACTAGGCATATTGTTGTCAAATTATAAGGATTAGAGGGTGGAGTAATTACAACTAACACAGCGTTTAAAAAAGACCGCACAATTGGCCTTTTTCAAAACTGCAAGAATGTAGAAATGTTTACTACGATTTTTTATAATTTTTTATAATGTCGAAAAAATTACAAAATTAGTAGATTCTCGCTGGTTTTGGTTTACAAATGAATCAAAATAATAATCCACTCCTTTATTTCTTTTCATCTCGTAGTGCGATTCTCTAACTCATTTTTTGAGTTACTGACAAAAATCGGTTACATAAAAATAAGCTAAGGTTGAAAACAGTGGTTTCTATCGGTAGGCCTTAGCGACTTCTTTGATTTCGTAGCTAACTTGCCTAACTTAAATTTCATTACATACTTTAATAATTTTTGTCGGTAACTCAAAAAATTAGTTATTTTTACTTATTTTACATGGTAAATGACTTTTTCTGTTTTGACAAAACTCTTCATGAAGAACGTTGAAATGTTAAAGGTATGGAATCCACGCAGATAAACTTTTAACAGCAATAGAAGAATTGTGAATTCGAATCCTATGCGCCCTTATTTAATTGTCATTGCGACTACCTATTTGATTTGCATTGTTTGGTGTCGTATAAACATATTATGATGGTTACTCAATAATCTAAAAGAGTAGTCGCATTTATGATTTCTCTTGGTTGTCACTTCAAAACATTTGAACGACGCCGTTTGAATTTCAAACGTATCTAGCACAACAAAAACAAAGAAAACAAAGCGAGGGAACGAGAGAAAAGTTATTGATTTGAATAATAAATTTAATAAATTTGTATGCCATCAGATAAAAATTCAAAATGTCAACGGAACAAAAAAATATTAAAGTTGTGGTGCGTGTTAGGCCCTATAACCGAAGGGAAATGGAACAAAATCAACGAAGTATTATAAAAGTGCTTGATCGTGAAACGTTGCTGTTTGATCCTGACGAAGAGGACGACGAATTTTTCTTCCAAGGAACCAAAGTTAATCATCGCGACATAACTAAACGTGTTAACAAAAAATTATCAATGGAGTATGACCGCGTCTACGATACGGACACCACAAACGTACAGATATTTCAAGAATGTACAGCTCCGTTGGTTGACTCAGTATTGAATGGGTGAGTATTGCTTTAAATAGGGGAGGATTTGATGTAGGTTCCTTAATATTTTGTATTTCTTTCATCTAGGTATAATTGTTCTGTTTTTGTGTATGGTGCAACTGGAGCTGGTAAAACGTTTACAATGTTGGGAAGTACCTCAAGTCCTGGATTGACATTTCTTACAATGCGCGATCTCTTTGAAAAGATTGAAGCACAGAGCGATGTCAGGAAGTTTGACGTGGGCGTCAGTTATTTGGAGGTGTACAATGAACAAGTAATGAATTTACTGACAAAAACGGGACCGCTGAAATTGAGAGAAGATTCAAATGGTGTTGTGGTCAGTGGTCTGGTCCTTAAACCTATATTTAGTGCAGAGGAGCTACTCGAACTGTTGGCATTGGGAAATTCTAATCGAACACAACATCCAACAGATGCAAATGCAGAAAGTTCGAGATCGCATGCTGTTTTTCAAGTTCACATAAGAATGACTGATCGTAAGACGGGCACTAAACGTATGGTAAAGTTATCTATGATTGACTTGGCTGGCAGTGAACGTGCTGCCAGTACCAAAGGTATTGGTATTCGATTTAAAGAGGGGGCCAGTATAAACAAAAGTCTATTGGCACTTGGTAATTGCATAAATAAACTGGCTGATGGATTGAAACACATTCCCTATCGTGATTCCAATTTAACTCGAATTCTAAAGGATTCCTTAGGGGGCAACTGTCAGACATTAATGGTAGCTAATGTGTCTATGAGTTCCTTGACTTATGAAGACACCTACAATACGTTAAAGGTATGATCTTTCGATGTGTTCATTTAACAAATAATTTCAAATTATAATTTTTAGTATGCAAGTAGAGCGAAGAAGATTCGGACTACACTGCGTCAGAACGCACTCAAAACCAATATGCCAAAGGAGTTCTACGTCAAAAAAGTCAATGAACTTATGGATGAGAATGATCGGCTCAAGAAAAACATGGCTACACTTGAGTCGAAAATTAGCAAGGCATCAACATACGATGATAGTGAACTGAAACCGTGGTACATCCAAATCGACCAAATATTTTTGACAATACTACAGATTCAAGATCAATATATTACTTTGAAGAGTCGTCTTAAGAATCTCACGTTGAGGAGAAAACTCAAAACAGATATGGAGGATTTTCGCAAAATGCTTAACGTCGATAGCAGGCAACAAGAGGTAAGTATTAAAAAGTATAGTACATATATTATTCAAATATCGTTTTTATTCATCAGAATTACGTTTGATTAGAATGGGACTATTCGGGAACGAGATCTATATGCTAATTCGGCAGTGATTTTTCAAAAGAACTAACTTATACATTTTGGTACTGAAATTCCAGACTTCTTTTCACAATAGAGCATAAAACATTTGACATAATAGTGTAGAATTTATTAATAGTTAGTTCTCTCCAACGTTTCCAATCATTTTACAGAACAAATGTTTTTTCATTTTTAATAACAAATATGTGGCGCGACTACGAATCCCCAAGTAATTCCTTCTGCTTTACTTGCAAGATTTTCTCCGCTTCGGAAATATATTTATCTGCTATAGCGGTAACTTGAGTCTGAACAGCGAAAACGTCATCTTTTGAAATATCTGTTTGCTTCTTAACTTTCTTAATGCAATTATTTTGAATGTCCTTAATGGAGTCCCTGTATTTGATAAACAAATTTTTTGCATTTTTGGAAAGGTTCTCACGATGTTCCTTTGTTACTTTGGGTATGGGTATAAAAAGCGTTGTACCGTCCTGTTGTGGGTTTAAATTCATGCCGCTCTTTTCCAATGCCTTCAAAACGTCCGGTATGGTTTGGGGAAATGCTATCATGTTCACAACAATAGTTTTTGGATTTTTACGTGAGATTTGCGCCAACTCCTGGAGTTCATGTTCCGTACCATCGACAATAACGCGCAGTGTATCAATGGCACCTGTGGTTGAACGTAAAGATAAATGCTTTATGAAGTCCTCCTTCATTTGTTGCACTGCTTTTTGCATCTGTGCATTTACCGAATCAAAATTTATGATATCGCGCAAGAGGGTCTCATTTATTTCCACCTTGGCGGGTTTCTTTCCTTTCTCCTTTTTCTTGTCTTTACTTTTTGCATAACAACAGTCAGTGGTAGATATCGATGCTGTTTGTAGTGAAAGAAGAGGTGGCACGTTTGTTCGAGGCAACAAAGTACGTCTGTTGGCTATCCTATTTAATGTGGGTATTTGTGACCGTATTATTTTTTCAACAAGTGATGCACTTTGTCTGGTAAACATTGCAAATCTTAATTACAAACTTCTTAATAATAAAGCGAATGTTACTTGAAATTGAAGGATGACTTTGACAGTTTGTTTTTACTTTTCATATTTTGACAGTAGTGTTGAGCGCCGGCAAATGAGGAGAGTTGCCACAGGGGCGGTTTTAAACATTTTAGTGAGGGATTGATTTTAGTGACTGATGATTGGCTGTGAAGCGAATGCAAATTATGTAGTAAATGTGCAACAAACAAATTGAAAAATTTCTAATATTTTTTATACCTTCCCCCATACATAGTATGGAGGGTATGTGAAGTTTGTCATTCCGTCAATCATTTTAGATCCAATAAAGTTAATATATTCTTGATGCGTGAAATTCTAAGGTGATTTAGCTTTGTTTGTCCGGAGGAGGGGGGGGGGGGGGGGGGAGGTGTCAACAACAGCAAAGCATTGTAGGGTGTCAACAACAGCAAAGCATTATAGGGTGCCAAAATTTTGTAACAAATCTCATTTTTGTTCTTAAATTTCCCAAAATAAGTTATTTTTAGATTTAATCCCTTTTCAAATAGACGGCCATCGGATGGGTCTTGATATTTTCTCCTCTGAGGTATGTCAAACACCAGCTCCGCAAACCAAACTTTACCTAAATTTAATATTTTTACACAACGTAACCCATATATCTCGGGAAGTAAGGATCCACCTCCCGAAAATGTTTTGTTGTTGTAATTGCTGTAGTGGCAGTTTGAAGTTTTTTCGATTATCGGTTTAGAAATTGCATTTTTGCAATTTTGGAACCCTATATCTCGGGAAGTTTCCGAGATTTCCAGAATTTACTTACCCTGGCTCCTCTGTCTGACACCAAAAAGAGTTGGACAGTAGCAGAGAAAGTGCTCCAGAAGTTACGGCCTGTATATTACTGTAAACCCAGCACAAGGTAAGGTTTCGCCATGAAAATGAGCGACACTGCCCTGCTTTTGGAGGTTAGGTTAGTTTAGAGGATTCCATTCGACGACCTGTTGGTCCATTGTGATCATCCTAGTTTAGAGAGAAGGGAAAAAAAAGTAGAGAAGTAAAGAGATAATGTTATTAAAAAAGAATTTATGGAAAGTGAATAGTATCCACTAAAAGATCATCGTGTTGTCTTTAGCTTTTTGTCTTCTGGCTAGCTGAAGAATTACTGTTTGGTCAGTTTCGGAGAGTGAAGACAAGTCATGAAGAATTTGCTTACTCGCGAGTCTCTGTCTGACTCCAAAAGAAGTTGGACCATGGCAGAGAAAGTTCTCCGCAGTTTCTATCTAATCTCGTCTTGACAAAGCCTACAATAGTCAGTATCGTTGGATACTGACATATATAGTGCATTAGCATTGTTTTTACAGAATGGGAATACCGAAAGAAACAAATGTATTTAGGAAGTATCTTTCATCGACCTCCTGTTGTGCCATTCTACAGATTTTCGTAAAGGGTTCTTCATTTTGGACTAACACTTAAAGCGAAAATTATTTAATGCTATGATCAATTATGGTATCATTCAGGTCCCACAAAAGATGTTTACATAAAGGCTAATTTGCACCGTAATTATATAATGTATCCATTGATGGAATTGGCAATCTAAAAAGCGGGTATTGATAAAACTTGTTCAAGCACTAAAGTTGATTTAGGCCTTCGTATTTTATCCATTTTATTTACGAATAATTGTTAATCATAACACACCAAATATAATTTTCTGATGCCGTTTCCCAGCGGAATTCAAATGTCATAAATTTTTTATTGATCATTCTAAGATTTAATATTAAACTGCTGACATTTCCATAGATGTTGTTCCTCTATAGGATCCTAGAGAGGTTGTGGTTCTTTCGGTATTGGGTGTCCAAAGCAGGCCCCAAATTACTGGAGCACTTTTTTATATAATTATTCTGTGTGGTAATTGAGGCATTTATAAATTTTGAGTTTGCATTATGAGAAAAAAATCCTAACAATCATTAAAAGAAAAGTACTTTTTTGCTTTTATTTTCAAATAGAACTTTGATAATTTTTCTGCGACAATTACCAATTTAAGTAAGGAAATTGATAAATTGGAACTGGAAATACCGTGTTGGCGACAGAAGTTACAGAGTTCATATAAGGATTTAGAAAAGCTGAAACAAGAAATTAAATCATCAAAACTTGCGAATATATTAATGATATATGTTAAGGGGAAGAATATGGAAGTACAGAGCTCCAAACAGACTCTCATAAATAAACACATTACCAACATAGACACCGAGGTTGTGGTTAATGCTCATTGGCTGCAAAGAGCTTTTACTTTAGCTGGCGATGTAATCAAAAACGGAACCTTGAACGCTGAGCAAAGGTATCACTATGATCAACTGCAACGACATTTACTTGGAACAACCCTGAGCACTGTTCCTAATAATATAAATGTTGGAGAGCAGCTAATGAATGGTATTCAGCCAGAGCCCATTGAGGAAGATGTTGATGGAATGTGTTCGGAAGGAAACGGGAAGAAAACTAATGGTAGTAAACGTTTTCGAATGGAAGAATATGACTTGGATGATTTAGATGGCATGAACAGCAACTCGGACCAGGATGATGATGACTGTACGAATGGCAATGGCGGTGAGATCGTTGATATGCACACAACATTTAAAATGCCAACCAAGAAAACTCGTGCAAATCTCAATGAAACTCAAGTTCTGTCAGTGGATGCAAACGTTAATGCTACATTTTACATGGCGTCGTCAGGTGCTTGCAACAGTTCCAAGAAAAATATGAGAAATGGCAAAGCTTTGCCTGCATGCAAAGGAAATCTTGTTACAAATGTGCTGTCAGAGCAAATTGTTAAAGGCCCCTCTAATTCTGAACAACTGAAGAATGGTGAGTTCATTTTTTACTTTAAGACTAAATTATGAAACCTGATTAATTATTAAAGGGTAACAAATATTAACTGAATTTTTTTCTTCCAGTTCTTCTTAAGTCAAAGAAATTTACGCACAACAATCTTTTGAAAACTGTTGCCGCTGGCGTGCAGAAAGAAAATATAAAGAAATTTAGCCCTAATCGAGTGAGGAAAAGTCCCCACACAGTGAGTAGCAGAGGTATGTCACATTGGAAACAATCATGTAATGTTTAATATTTGGTCTAATATTGATATTTTGTCTAATTTGCAGGCACAAATTTGGTTAAACAGCGTATAGCTACACGAACAAATAACCCAACTGCAACAGACGCTCCCGTAGTAAGAATTAACAGAGCAGCTTCGTTTCGAGTTAAAAAATAATAATAGAATACAAAAATCTAGGATAGTTTTAGAATATAGTTGGCTTTAAGATTTTTTTATTTTATAATCTAATTATATTTTTATCTGAAAAGAATTATTTAATGTTTCTTTAGTTACACATATTTTTAAACTTAACAATTGTAAACCCCGCCTGTACCCGGCATTGGATTTGATAAATATTCCAATGTCAACAACCAATTAAAAATGTTTGTCATTCCAAACAATATTCAAAGTGGTATTAATACAATCACCATGGGAAGAGTTGGCGGCAATTTTAATTTCAACGTTTGATTCTGAAGAGGACGAACGTCTTGATCAGAAGAATAAATTGTTGTAGAAGGCGATAGATTGGCCCAATGAGGTTCGCGCGGACAGTTTGTTTTCTTCCTTGCATTGCAACACAAATCGATCTTTCACTTACACTACTAAAGCGGAAAACGTGTGCATTCTCATTTACGATAGCTTTGTTATTTTTTAGAGATCTTAGGAAATGTGGCAAAAGTATATGTCTCGTAGAATTTGTATTGTCACGAGTTCAATAGTCTTGTTGCAAGTATCACATCACTGATAAACGAATCAATCTCTCATAGAACCTAAAACCTAAAGGAACCCGTACTTTAACGTCTCTTATCAACAGAAACACTCTTACATAAAACCATGAAATTTCCACTTGGTTATTTTTATTTATTTTTTTTATTTTTTTTTTTTTTTTGATGAACATGTGTCATCCAAAATATTTGTTTGTGAAAATGTATGACTGAATTAATTGTTGATAAAAACGTTTGAGTTCATATATCAACACTGAAAAGAAATTTGTTAAAAAAAATTGTGCGAATTAGCTTCAGATTTTAAATGTAATTAAATGATAAGGGAGATTTTTTGTGAAGCTATTAGAAATTAGATCAATCAGGGGATAATGTGGAGAAACTATTAGGACTTGTTTCGGCATATATCGGTTCATTTTATCTCAAATTTCATTTCATTTCATTTATTTACCTTACAAAGAAATATAAATAAGCCCACAGGGCCCATAACTTATATTATCTATCTACAATACCCTAACATAATACAAATTCAATGATTAATTCAAACTTAACAAATAACATATTAAACCTAATAATTTATATTAATAATTCACGAGAAGCTCAAACCCTACACCTCGGTTCACCATCACCAACTAAACAATAGTCTAGTAGAGCAGTGAAAAAGTGTAGCAGAAACAAGCTAAAAATAAGAGAGAACTATTTTATTACTCACAAAACAGAGTATAAATAGTAACTCACATTATACCCTACAAATAAAATTAAGAAGATAATATAGTGGCTCCCCAGCCCAAACAAAAAGAAAAACAAAAAGAAAAACCCATAATAAACCGACGCAACCACTACAAAAACAAAGCCTACATATTTAGGCGAAGGTATTCAATTACTTTAACCCTAAACAGATAATTGGTATGGGCAAAGTACGTAAGGCCAAAGGAAGCTGATTCCACAATCTCACCGCCCTAACCACAAATGATCTCTCACCAATGGAGGACGAAAACCTTGGACACAACAATTGAGGATTTCGAGATGATTTCGAGAAACACAAAGTTGTCACGAAGAGGCGAGTCAAAATTGCACATAACACTGTAATGAAATTGAAGAATACGAAGATCAACGTAGCTGCTAAATGGCAATCCCAGGAGATCATTAACAAAACAAGAAACATGATCACCACGACGCAAGCCATACACATAACGAACAATCGAATTTACCGCCCTACGGATACGTTGCATTTGAGAAGAAGTAGTGCCGGAGACTACCTCTAGACAATAATTTACCTGCGATAGCAGCAAGGATACAACCACTCTCTTCCTAACATGACAAGGCAAATAAGCATTAAGATAATACAACCTCCGCAGCTGAAACCTTATGCGACAAAGCAAGGAATCAATGTGTCTCTTAAAGTCCAACTTCCGATCAATTATAATACCCAGACATTTCATTTCATCAACAAATTCCACTAACACAGAACCCACAGTAATATTAAGAGAACCACCATTACCATGATCATTGAACATCATAGCTTTAGTTTTATTCCAATTAATCATAAGGCCATTTAGCGAAATCCACGACGAAAGAGACAAAACAATAGAATTAACCAACCCTTCTAACCCAGCAATATCGGCCTCTCTGAAGAAAACATGAATATCATCTGCATACAAAAACAGACAACACCTGTCATCAACAACTGAGTGCACAATGTCATTAATGAACATAATAAATAACAACGGTCCCAGTACAGAACCTTGCGGGACTCCACATTGGACACTACAAACTTCAGACGAAACACCCAAATGAACAACAAACTGAGACCAATCCCACGGCGGCCGGTTCTATGTACCGGATTGACTCGGAGGCACATTTCTCCGACCAGGGGCCGTCAACCTAGCAAATACATGTTCGTGTTCGTCCATTTTTCTGATGTGGGAGCAACATTACCCGGAATGTTTGCTCCGTATTCTCTTGGTCCGAGCCGGGATCGAGACCAACCCCGGACCATGGTTCTGCTCCGTTTGTTGTAATCGCATCCACCACAGATCGGTTTCGGTGAGATGCAACGGATGCATGGAGTGGGTGCATTTCCGGAATTGTTCCGGCCTAAACCGGATACAGGAGTATAGCGATAGGGACTACATTGCTTCCTGCTGCGTCAATGTAGACCCCAGTGAGTCTTCATCTTCGGCGTCCTCATCGTCGTCGCAATATGAGACTCCCCCGCAATCTCCTCAACAGCAATCTACGCAGCAGTTGACGCCACACATTGCTGTTCAGCTTCCGGACAATGCATCATTTCTCCAATTTAATTGTGATGGTCTCAGAGGTAAGATCAACGAAATTGTAAGCTTTATGAGTCGGAAGAACATCAAGGTCGCAGCGATCCAGGAGACGAAGCTGAGTACCACCTGCAGACTTCAAAGTTGTGATGGATACAACTTACTGAGGAAGGATCGCTCCAGAGGTGGAGGTGGAGGATTAGCGTTCCTATTGCACCACTCTGTCCAGTACAGACCTATCTCGCCTGAGCTTGACTCTAGTGACCCGTACATGGAATGTATGGGGGTAGCGGTCAAGTGTGGAACCGCCGAGGTAGAGGTGCTCAACGTGTACATTCCGCCGTTAAATAGCTGTGCCCCACGTTATATGCCTAATATCAGTTCACTACTGGTAGGCAATAACCGTCTGGTGCTAGGGGATTTCAATGCCCATCATGAATTATGGCATTCCGTCCTAGGTAATGACCAGAGAGGCATGGCGCTGGCTGAGCAAATCGATAGCTCCACGTTTTGCACAGTGAATGAGGACGCGCCCACCAGAATAAGGGGAGACTGCCACAGTTCTCCGGACATATCCATCGTGTCCCCAGGTCTGACGAATGACGTAACTTGGCAATCAGTCATTTCTCTAGGCTCAGACCACCTCCCAATTATTATCGCCATCAATAGACCACCCGACTTCATCGACTCTGAACGCCGCACTTTCCTTAACCACGGGAAAGCTAATTGGCAAGAATTCAGAGAGTATACCAATCGCCGCTTCAGAGAACTGCCCAACCTATCTGATGTTCAGGTAGCAGATAGGTGTTTCCAGGACATCATCAAAGCTGCAGCCGCTCGCTATATACCTGCTGGTCGAATACCTGAAATAAGACCAAATTTCCCAGCAGAGGCAGCGGGATTAGAAACGAGCGTACTAACCCTAATAACCCCAGAGTCAGGGAACTTACTCTGGAGGTAAACAGGTTAGTAGGTAAGCATAAGCGGAAAAAGTGGTTAGAACATCTGAAGCATTGCAACATCGGTACCGGAACGAGTAAATTGTGGGCAACGGTTAAGTCGCTTTCGAACCCTGGAAAAAAGGACGATCGGACATCTGTCTCATTTAACGGCGTAGAAGTGACAGATCAGAAGAGGTGCGCGTGTTATTTTAACCGGCAGTTTGTAGAGCACCCCGAGAGTGACAGGGCGAAGAGAAGGATACTACGCCGTGTACGATCCCGTCCAGCCGAGGAGGTACCACCACAATTTACGTTGGCAGATGTTGCACAGGTCATCAGAAGCGCAAAGTCATCCAAAGCGCTTGGTCCTGACGGAATCTCAATGGTGATGTTGAAGCAACTGGATGAACCAGGAGTTGAGTATCTGACAAAGCTTCTCAATCTGTCGTTAGCCACCCTAGTAGTTCCCGATGCCTGGAAAATGGGCAGGGTGGTCCCGCTACTGAAGCCAGGCAAGGATGCCAGCAAAAGTGATTCTTACAGGCCGATATCACTTTTGTCACCAGTAGCAAAGACGCTTGAGGCTTTACTCCTCCCCAGCATAAGAGAGTGTTTCCCAGTAGCCGATCATCAACACGGATTCCGAAAATTGCATAGCACAACAACAGCTTTACACGCCATTTCCACACATGTCAGTAGAGGTCTCAACCAGAACAGGCCGTGCGATAGAACAGTTATGGTGGCACTTGATTTATCAAAAGCATTTGATACAGTCAATCATGCCACACTGTTTGAGGAACGTTGGATAGTAAACTACATGTGTGGAAGCCAGTCGTACGTGGAATTCAGAAACAAGAAGTCGAGCATCCGTAGAGTTAAACAGGGAGTTCCCCAAGGTGGGGTGATATCTCCGGAACTGTTTAACCTCTACCTTTCTGAAATTCCACGCCCTCCAGACGGCATAGAGATTATAACGTACGCAGATGATTGTACGCTCGTGGCGTCCGGACCCATTATTGATGACATTTGCGATCGGTTGAACGCTTACCTTGTTGATCTTACCGCCTTTTTCACTGCGAGGAATATGAAGATATCCGCCACTAAGTCGACGGCCACACTTTTCACCGCATGGACTGCGGAGATGGGGCTATCCTTGAATGTGCAGGTCGATGGTGCTATTATTCCGACCACCAACTACCCCAAGGTATTAGGGATCACATTCGATAGCCTCTTCAAGTCGTCCGCGCATACCACAGCTATCTGCGACAAGATTAGAAGTAGGAACAAGGTCCTCAAGTCTCTGGCCGGCAGTACTTGGGGAGCTGATAAGGAAACCTTGTTGACCTCTTACAACGCGATAGGCCGGTCTGTGGTAAACTATGCGGCTCCAGTGTGGTCCGCTAACGTCAGTGCTACGCAGTGGAAAAATGTTCAGTCCTGCCAGAATGCCGCCCTTAGAACCGCAAC